ATAGCCCCATCTTGATGAAACCAAGTGCTCCGGTCATAGCCTTGCGAATCTTGCAGCTTTGAAATCAAAAAGCTTTTCAGCCTACCAGTATAGCGCTCTCAAAAATTAATCATCCTTTCAATGCAACAAACCAATTAAGCAGGGGTGAAATCTCACTGCGTTTAAGAAGCGCTAATCTCATTCCAGCAGACTTCTTTTTGTGGGGTTACCTTATGAGCAGAGTATAATCCATCCATCCTGAATCCATTTCGAGGTAACTCTAACGAAAGTTTTCCAAAATTTTGATGTACCTAATGTACCTATGTTGACCGAATATTGTAAACGTCAAAGTTGAATCACATGAACGATAAAATTTATAAAAGAAAGTAAATTTTAAAATAAATTGCACTAAATTTCCTTTAAATTACAATAGTTAAAGTTCTACAAAAATGTACAGTTTTCGTTTCCTTCAATTTTCAAAAGTGAACTTTCTTCTGGGCCGCCCTGTATAATGTTAGGTACAAACAGCTTATCAACCTAAACTTATACATTTAACTTATGAGTGATTTTGCAACAATAATATACCTAATTACCTATTCTGATGTGCGGTAACACATATTAATGATATTAATATAGTAGGTACTTTTATGTACAAACTTACCAGAAAAGTTATGTAATAAAATATGTATAGATCTAATGTAAGCCTACCTACGAAAATGCTTACTTATATAAGTATTTTTCTTAATACGACTATATTGTTTTACATCGCCTATTAGAAAATAAGTAAACGAATTTGATGAAGAAAACATTGCCTAAAATATACATCTAGGCACCATTTAGGCGCCATGACGACTTAAAACAAGAAAAATAATCAGATATTAGTCCTAGGGGAAAAGACATTTTGTTGCAATTTACTTTAAATAGGAATAGAGAACTTCTTTTACGCGTAAGAGACTAGTTTTTTAATACAGGATGTGTCATAAGACACTGTCGAACAAATGTAAATCCACTCGGAGGAAATTGCACCCAAGGGCTTGCTAGCAGTCATAGTACCTATTAGTAATAATAAGTAGTAGTTCTTAAACTACTACTTATTATTACTAAGCTTATATATTAGCTCTAGTGATGCTCTACCTCTGGGCTTCGGCTTGGCACTACTATTTGGGACATCCTGTATAAAGACTTTTTAAGACTGGTTGCCAACGATATAAATTATCGTTTGTGGTGACCTTTTATGTTAATAAAACATAAAATATGCACAAATTTTTTGGAACACAGGGATCCTATCTGAAAATTCAAAATTTTCATTAGGTAAGGCACATTTATTTTTGGGTCGCTCAATTTAGTCCAATACATAAATCCACGATAAACATCTATTAATCATTTTGCGGGCGTATACTGCACCTTGTGTCAATCGTAAATTCTGTTATATTTGATACTCGATAGAAGTCGAGTCGATAGACACAAAGATGCTTTCTCAAGAGTACTACACAAAATGCTATGGAACAATTCCCACCTCCCGTTCCCGCCGCTGTACTTAACTCCAGTGTACAACTTAACCGTCAAAAAAAACCCAACCAATGAAGATAAAGTTTGTCCCGGCAAAGTTAAACTGTAACAAAATGATACTACTGGAAAAACTATATGTATAACTCATTTCGGTATGACAAAAATTTCAACAGAATAAGTATGTATCTTCATTGTATATTAATCATACTACCTACAACTTATCTACAAGATAAACGAATGGACAATAACATTTTATAACACACATCTTTATTTATTTTTAATGACCTTTACAAACTACCCCAATTTCGTAGATGCTAAATTTAGATTTTATATTGATTATAATCGAACATCGTTTATTTTGAGATTTTAGGCAGGTACATACATCGAGAAAAAAGTTTTCCTTTTTTGGGAGCGAACATAAAAATCCAAAGACGCAGTGAAGTTAGTTAATCAAGGACCGACAGTCAGACCTAGAAGACTCATCTGGTGGAGTTAATTGTAATAATAATAATAGTGCCACGTTGCAACAGAACTATACCTATAAGTCTAATGCACTGTGGACTGTAGCACCGTGCATGAGTACATACTGAGTCCTGTAGGTAGGCATAGGTCCGTAGTTACACATAATTTCATTTTGACATAACACTAATAACACTTATCTCCGGCAAGGCGTAACATTTACCTGCGTGTATGAATAATAATTAAAATAATTACGATTCAAACAATAACTGCTTGGCATCGATGTGGGCGAAGACAAGCGTATATATGTGACGTGGATGTTGACGAATCACCCAAAATGCCAACGAACCACCTTGAACTTGGCCGCGCGGGATGCTCCCGGCCAGCCACCCCACACCGCATTCGGTCTGCCTCAAAGTCGAAAGACCTAGTCAATTTAATCGCATTCCAGACCGGTTCTTTGGAGCATCTCCAAAAGGGCAAGGGATCCGGACTCCGAAGAGATACAATAACATCATGTAAAATCATCTTCACTCTACATATGACACGCAAACATAGTAGGACACGAATATTCGATGTAATTTCTTTTATAATGTAGAAAAGGTGTTGGATTCCTAAATTTCGTAGCAAGTTTGGTAACAAATACCGATATCTAAAGCTTCCGACCATCAGGCAAGTAAAAGAAGGAGGTAGGTATCTCTAACAAATGATTTAGCACGTAGAGTAGCTCAGTATAAGAGCTACTCTTCGTGCTAAATCAATTTGAAAACATGCACTTAAGTGCGCAAACCTTTACGAAAACAATGAATGAGTGAATGTCACTAAAAGACTGAAGATCTGTTGAATGAAAGAGCTAACTCATACGTTCATTAGGCGACGACTTCCTTAAATAAGCTAGGTCACCCGTCCAGGTCAGAGCTGAGCGTTGAACAAGGGCAATGCCAATTTCAGGGTCCACTTAGTCAGTGTACAGTTAGGTGGCGTCGGCGAAGAAACAATGCGAGTGACATTGGCGGGAAGAAAGGATGGTACGCTGCGTGCATAGTAATTGAAGCGCCCAGCGCGCCGGCACCAAGGTGCCACGTACGGTGGCTCCTCGCATCAACACCTGACGACTCTTTGTCAGGAGCTGGCAACAATTTCTTGTCGCATTAAAAACATAACCCTAAATCGTGGGCCAGAAAAGAAATTACGAAATGTTCCAAATAAAGAAAATAAAAATAGGTGTAAATCTTAGACATCTTATCACGAAATACTTATTCTGGTTCATAAACTAAATATAACAGTTTTCGTACATATGTTTACTAAGAATAAATTCAGCTACAAATATTTTGTTCCCATAACTCATTATAATTTAAAAGCAGCAAAAATGAGTTGCAAGCTAAAATTAATTATACAATTAATAGCTTAGATTTAAAATGTTTAGCATCTCTTACATTTGTAAGGTATCGTGGGTCTATCGTAAGGCAAGTGTGTTTTATTTAGCTACTTCATTGTGAGTATCATTACGATCACACATTTACAATGTGAAAACAGTGCTGAAAAACTACACAAATCAAGTGAAAAGTGTTTGTTCATTTTTGGTGTTATCGGACAATACGCACATAACTGAGTGATTTACATTTGTATTGTTCGCACCGATATGTTTTATAAAAAGCATTGGCTTTAGTAAATTAAACCATCTGATTGGCAATAAAAAATAAATAACATGCGTAGTTTCAAAACAAACACAATTACATTACAAATATTGGTTTTAGGCTCATTCGTCATTCCACAACGTCTTGAATGTGTAGGGCAAGTTTCCTTTTAAAAATATTAAGGGAGTCAATGGTTTTTATTGATGCGGGTAGTTTGTTAAATAGCTGTGGACCCATGCTCAAAGTTATGCATTTTCTTGTGCGTATCTTGGGTAGAATCAAATAGCTAGAGCAATATTATTGTTAGGTATCCATTTATTCTTTAAACATAAATAACATATTATAAGCAATAAATATACTTTTAATCTCAATTAATAAACCTTCCCCCATTATAAAAGAAGAGAAAATAAGTTATTAATCAAGTTCAATTTAGTGTTAATTTTTCACGTCTTCTCGTTAGCTATTTTGAATGTTGCTTTAAGATTTATTTCCAACAAAACGAAAAGCTATATGGGTGTTCTATAAAATATGATGCCATTAAAGTGACATAGTTTAGATTTAAAGAACCGGTAGAGTCAAGAAAAAAGCTATTGATACATACTATCTTTAAGCCGGCGATGGGTTGAAGAACACAATAATGTAGAAAACCGGTCTACTTTTACGAAATATATAAAATATGTATGTAAATTAGGTAAGTTTAAGTATATTTCTTTTTATTTTTCTAATTTACCGTTAATTTCCTTAGCCATAATTTATAATGAGGGGTAAAAACAAATGTTTTATAATATTCTACATTTACTAGACTAAGGGTTTATAATGGTTCATCAAAACATGTTATTATAAAACGCTGGTAGGGTAAAAAGATTATGAGACATGTAGAGGCTCCTTAAGAGCAAGATATTTGACGGTTTGTAAAAACTGTTTAATAGTCTATACAAATAAATAAATTTTGACTTTGACTTAATTGTCATAACAGCACAATACAACCAATTAACTTTAAAAATGTATCACATTAGATATCTAACTAAACACTACTTCAAATATCTAAATTATAAGCTACGATGAAAGAAATGCTTAATTACGAGTAAACAGAAACAAAAATGTAAACAATTTGTGAAATATAGACTACTAATAAGCTACGAGTATGTCTACTTAATATTATGTCAATAACAAGTCATACCTGTTTATCATAATTAAGGTAGCAATTTCACGTGCATGTGATTAAAATATTTACTTATAAGAAGGATGCATATTCCTCGTCAGTTATATGATACAAATTCGCTAAGGTGTAAAATATAGGACCCACAAAAGGCACCTTCAGATGCACATTGTTTTCCCAAAATATGTTCCAAAATTCCACCGATACATATACATAAGCGTGGGTGCGAGATGAAGAGCTCGATGACACCGAGTATTTAACACTAAGCGACGCGCGCGCCGCCCGCTCAGTCGCGACACGCACGGCCTAAACGCAGGCGCATCTTCCTGGGGTACCAGTATCGATCCCCACTTATACCAAACAGATCAAAAACTTTAGGTAATTATAATATAATAATAATAATAAATTCCCAAAAAGGCATAATAATAATTTTCAAAATTTGATGTGCTCATTTTATTTGTTTACAATTGCAGATAGAAAATTTCGGGAAAGTGCAATACAAGTCCCCCGTCATGGGGCGAATAACTTGGGTAAGTAGTTTTTTTAGAACTTATTTAAATCTCCGGTTCCTATTTATTTACATTTACAATTGATAGGAATACCTTAAGTAATTTAACATATCAATAAGTTTTCTGAATTTTCTAAATATTTGATAGATTACTTCATAAATTCAAACAAATTTTCCATAATACTTATTTAACAACATAATGATTAATTAATCACGTGTCCATTGAAAGATAATAAACAAACACAATTTGTGTATTAAAGATTGAACATAGGTGCGCGCATTTTGTTAATAGCTTGGACTATTAGAGCCGTAATAAAAGAAGAGTGATTTGTATTTTAAGGTATTTTCCTAATCATTTGTGTTATCTTTAAATCGTATTAGATGTTTTTTTAAGTTACTTACCAAAATACCTAGACAATTAGTGATTTATCCTTAAACACATACCTCCTTACTAATAAAAAGTTACACAGTTGTTGAACACTGTTTTAAAATGACATTTCCATACTAAACGTCACTTTAAACCATTGTTCAACGAGCGTGTAAGTTTTATTAGTAAGGGAGATACTCAGTACGTATGCACGAAGAGTGCCCCGTCCCAAAATTTCACTACGCTAAATAACTTGCACTTGGCTCATTACTCATTCGCCGCATATAGCTCGTATAAGTCGTTTGTACAGCCATACGGGACCACAGGACACCTGTTTCGTTATAGGGCAGTGGCACTTACGTGTCTGGGAACGGGGTGGGATACTCGCAACGGGATTCAGAGATAAAACTGTTTACATTTAAATAAATTGTCAACAATGCACATTTATAGCACAGAAGTTAATAAAAAAATTAAAAATATAAGAAACTAGTCATTATCTCATTATCAAAGCTTAATAAATGAGACATTTAATCGAAATTTATTTTTCGTAAAAACTTGATAAAAAGCTCGAAACTTTCTCTAGCGCGTTTATGTCTTTTTAAGGGCTGTATGCAGATTTTGCAAATATAGTGAAATTTGGTTCTTAATCGAATGATAAATATTACTCGTATATAGGCAACGTTGAATATAATCTCATAGAAAACTTTTGTACTTAGTATCGGTAACATTGCCATATCAGATAAATTAATATTATTTTAGTTTGTCGAAGTGCATCAAAGTCAACAAAATTGTATAATATTCTTTTTACTGGCTTTCTGACTATATTTATGCATATTAATTTAACGTAAGTATCACAAATACTGATAAAAATCAAATAAGAAAATAATCGCTGATTAAAATAATATCAAGTTTCTGAGCGCTCGTTTAAGTCTTTTTAAGGGACAAAAGCTTGAAGGATATTGTTTAACGGAAATTGAAGTACTTATATGATATCAATCAACCTTTTTTTAAAACCTAATCATAATGTAAACATAAGTATGTTTCCAGTAGTGAAACATACATTTCATGTTTATTTACTTTTAATAGAGCGCAGTAAATAAACGACAAACGTGTTGAATAAGAATAGGAAAAAATAGTGTCATTCTTTCATACAACTAACTTCCTTCTTCTTGGTCATATACTATAGAATGACAACATAAAGTATGCAATCCACGTTCTTAGATATGCTGAGCTCCCTTGTCTGGTTGTGTGATGACCTTCCGTGATACATCACTACAATTACTAAACGAAAGTTATTATTTTTAAAATATCTACATTTTAAACATAAACATAAATATTCGATAATAATAAAATTATTAAACTAGTAGTAAATAGATCGGCACTTAGAATACTAAATAAAAAACAACTAACCACAAAAATTAAGTGGATCTAAAGCCCTATCACAAAAAGGGCAATTAATATTAGGAATCAATTTAGGATTTAGCAAGGTCGACATCGAAAATACACTTGCATAATATAAACAGAATATCTTAGATATGCATATAAGGATAAAAGGCAAAGTATGGAAGCTCAACAAAAAAAACATTAACATTTGAGAATAAATAAAACTCGCTCTGGGGGCTCTCTGCGCGCTGCTAGTTTGTATCGACTCCAAACATCCAGCAGAAACAGGGTTTAAAGGTATTCACAACACATATTGTATTAAAACGAAAACAAAAACGACAGACTTGCCTTACCAATTAACTTAAAAGCTTCGCGAACTTCAATAGGGTGTTATGTTTTCACAAACAATTCACAGTCTCCGCGTGCGGCATTAGCATCCCAAAAGTACTTTTATTTAGTTGTCAGTTTGAACGTGCCCAAAGCTGTGACATTAATGTAAATTACGTGCAATTTCATGATCGTAAACTTAACAAGGGGCGTGTTCGGATTAGTCCAAATAACACCGAAATAAAATGTATAGCAATTTATACCTCGCACATCAACCGAAAACAAAATAAAGTGCGTCCTAATCGTTAGTGGCGAAATGTCACGCGAATACCATGGTCTTGGGATGATGACGATGACCCCGCCGCTACCTGCTCCTCATATATGCAAATGATTGTTTTCCGAACAGGCTCACTGAGTCAACGTACTGGCGCTCATTTACCACTATAATTTATTAGATCGACTCCACGCCAAAATACTGCCTAATCGAGAGGCAAACCTAATCCAACCAATGCCAAGGAAATGTCAGTCGGCGAAACCAGACGTTCCTTGATTAAATGTTAAATTCAAAATATAAATTGCAATAAAAAATGAAATTTACGAGTACTATTAATAAAGATTATTAATAAAATTTTTACAACCATTTATTTTTTGATATCGTTTCGTTTATTTTTATTATTAAATCCAGTCAGTTTTTACTGGTGGCGTCTCGCATGAGATTTCATTTACAATGAACAAGGATTGAGATAATAATACATTGCATTGCTCTAAATGTTTACTAAATTTATTTATTTTAACCGTAACAATAATTGATGTTTGTCAATGTTAAAGTAAGATAGTGCATCTCACCCTAATAAATTCTAAGACCGAAAAAGAAAACCTTTATACTGAAATGATAATAATAATTCAACATGACGGATGGACTGCTTGTGATAACAATCTGACCTATGAGTTTCTTAATATTATTACAGTCAAATATCATAAATGAACAACCTGATTATAAGATCATAGAGCAACGTAGCGGGAATTTAAATAATTTATATTAAAATATATAACAAGATGCTAATTCAACAATAGAGTCTGTAGCAGAGCAGTCCAGCGCGCTTTAAGTATGCATTCTTTCGATGGCCATTGACTCTGGACTGGACCAAAATATACATTTGAACAGAATAAACAAACTTTTGTGAACCAGTCTTAAGTGTTGATCTTGATTCTTGGCTCTGTCAAGTTATGTAAATTACGCAAAGACGAAGTGCGATACTTGATCGATAGGTCAGCGACCGCTCGCCCACACGCTCAGTTTCAGGCGCCGAATTGAACGCTACCAAACTTCTAATAGCATCTTTGAACTCTATCGAATGATCTTCACAATAAGAAGATTGGCAAATAGAACACTTTTTGCTCGCATCTTCTTTGTTACTGGAATGTAACGGTCTTAAAGGCCGCATAGCGTGGAGGTACCCTAAATAATAGGAAACTATTTAACTCTATTGACTAATGCAGAATTGTGAGAGGTCAACAACCCATCATACCTTTGTTTGATTATTTGATACGAAAGATGATAGCCGTATAATCAATGCTAATAAGCCCAACGAACATAATATGAGGATAATCTATTGACTGATTTTAAATCCATACTGAAAGATGCAAATGATTTTTTTTATCAAGTTAGTCATGAAGTTCCTTGTTTAACTCAGTCAAATACCTAAATTTTCTGTTTAATAATACGGTGACATACCGTTTAAACGGTACATTCTGCCTCATTTCAGGGGTTTAGGAAAAAGGAACACAGCTTCTAATGCTAAACATAACTGTGTTTGACTAGTAGGTAAATTAATCATCTGCTTTGTTTCAGTGCGTGCTAGTGTTTTGCGCAACCACATGGGCATCTCCACATTCAGACGTGTCAGAGTTCCTCCGGAGTGCAGTGGAAACAGTCCCCCAACATGACCCCATTGCTGCACCCATAAGATCCTCCGTGGAGAGCATACCACTCAGGTAATTTTACACTTTAAAAATAACTTTATTAGGTATTCTCGGCAGGCTATTTGAGCCTTTTTTATCTTTTCCTTGACACCTCTACGGCCTGTGAAACATATTAACTTAAATTGGACAATCTGATGATTTTATACCTCCATAAAGCGCAACTTGACTCGATTTATTACAGGAGTCTTCGTGAAGAAGGAGAAGGGAGGCTGCCGCTCCGAGATGCAGTGGAAAAACGACCAATTTCGTTAATTGATGAGAATTCGTTTTCGTTAAAAACGGTTGAGGTAAAACTAAAATTAGTAAACTCCCACAATAACACAATAATATCTCAAAATTTTACATGAAATTTCAATTGACACAATTTCCGATTAATTTCAGGACGAGGAATCGGATAACAACGACGACACCTTCGTAGAGCTCAAAAAATTTTACGGAGCCGCTAGTTATCTAAACACGTATGATACATTATTGAATGTTTTATTTAATAAACTTTCTATACTTACAGTGTTCAATGACTTATCATTTCAATTTTTTACAGCAAAAACGATGAACGACTACAACATGGCAATGCAAATTTACAAGGTGAGAAACAATTAATTCAAATACTTTTTAGAGGATTTTCGATTTATAAGTTATTAAGTAATCTTATTTATTATAATATGGGTTGTAAATTGTAATGTTTCAGAAATGCAACAAACTAGTGGGGCAACGGATCGTCGCATGGTGGTGTGTTACATGCAGTCCTGGGCAGCGTACCGGGCGCCGCCGTTGGCATTCACCGCTGGCTTGGTTCCACGTTCCTGCACACATCTGCATTATGCCTTTGCGGCTATACACCCCCACACATATGCGGTACTACCGGCCAACGAAGACTATGATATTATTAAAGGTAACATTATAGTTACAAGGCTTTAAAGCTTTGTTTAGTAAATAATTTAAAAAAAATTTTCTTCAGAAATCACGCTATGTCCAAGCTTTGTCCACAACATAAATCATATTTATTTAAACTTTTCATTCAAAAGAGGTGGTTTTAATGCCATATAATATTCTCTACCAGTCCACTTTGAGGTTTTCTTATCTGGATTATCTTCGGTCACATCTGCCATCAACTGGTGTCTTCGAACAGTTTTTTCAGTATCATATTTTCAGGTGGTTACCGCATCGCGACTGGCTTGAAACGCCGACTTCAAGGGCTCAAAGTCATGATCAGCGTGGGCGGCGAGGGCACGGACCGGCTGTTTAGCGAGCTCGTTCAAGAACCCAACAGGCGCAGCCTGTTTATTGACAGTGCTGTCGACTTCTTGAGGGAACACGACTTCGACGGACTTGACCTTCATTGGGTTTATCCAGGTACATAAGTTCGATTTGAGTCACTGAGGTGTATTTGTTTCAACTACGTTTATTTTATTACTTCTATAAAACATCATATAGCTAAAACGTAATAAATATTGCAGGCGAAAGAGATGAACGCGAAAAAGAACTTCTGACTTCACTCCTCTACGAACTCCGCGAAAAGTTTTCATCATACGGACTCCTCCTTTCGACTGTCCTGCCACCGTTTAGATACCAAATCGAAGATGGTTACGATCTGAGCGCTGTCAGTGGGGCGACGGACTACACTATTCTGCAGGCTTGGGATATGACTCATGGAAAGAAAGACGAACCTCCTGCGAGAGCGCTACATCACAGCACTCTACATCGAGACCCTGGCGCGGCATCGCGCGATCAGAGATATGACAACATCGTATGTACAAATAATTTTGATAATTTTCACACATCCTCTCTCTGTTTTGGAAAATTAAACATTTACAAAATATCTTTCAGGAGTTCATGGTAAAATACATCATCCGCCATGGAATGGCAGCCGACAAACTCGTCCTTGGAGTGCCACTGTTTGGTCGCAGCTACACGTTGGCCGCGTCCACGTTGCCTTCCCCGGGGGCGCCAGTCAGCGGTTGGGGCGAAGAAGGGCAATACACACAAACAAAGGGAATGTTATCGTACTTTGAGGTGAGACATGCCGTTATATTTAGTATCGTAATATCTGACTATCTATTCAAGTGAACATGTGACATAATTATCCTAACAACATAAATTGTTGTTTTTAGATATGTATGAAAGAACGCATGGGCGACGGCGTGGTTGCATTCGATGAAGCTGGCAATTCATTCGCATTATTCGACAACCAATGGGTATCTTTTGACTCCCAAAGCACGGTTTTGGAAAAGGTACGTAATGACACGATAGGTATTTATAATATGCTTACAGGTTTCCGCATAGTATGATTGATTTTATGTAATATTCATTAAAAAAACAACTTTACTTCGCAGATGAGATTTGTCATTAGTACTGGACTAGCGGGTGCTGCCGCGTGGTCAGTGGACATGGATGATTTCAGAGGACTGTGTGGTACTCCGTTCCCAATACTGAGCACCATTTCAACGAGCTTGAATGGTAAACCAAAAACCCATCAGTTATTATAATACAACTTATAGTTACATACAGGAATCTTTAGTTACATAATAGTTCTAACTTTTATTTGCAGGAGAATCTATACAATCAGACCAATCTACATTGAAAATAGGGTTCTGCGAATCAGACACTCCATACTTGGCATCTGACGAAGAATCCTGTGCACACTTCCACTTCTGTGCAGGTGGTATTAATTACAGAATGCTGTGCGAAGAGGACCGACTGTACGATCCATCTACAGGATTTTGCGGGTAATGCAACTTATTTCATATGGCGTAATAACTAAATTCAGAAATGATATAACTATTATTATGTTATTGTTTGTTTCAGTCATTTGGATGTCGCTAAGTGTATTCCTGGCCAAAGTCTTAGGATCAGCGTGCAAGAAGCAGAGCGCTACCTGTCACAAGCTTACGAGACTGATTTTGAAGTAAATAAAAATTTACAATAGTTAAGATAATACTTATCATTAGTTACACTAATAATATTAAATATATTTTAATTTTCAGTGGAATGGTCAAAGTATCAAAGACATTCAAGCTGCACAACTGATGTCAAATGATGTTGACACAAAGAAAAGTAAGCCAGGACCATTAATATACATGCTCACTATCTCCCTATTCTCTCTCTCTTGAACTTAGTCTTAATAAAACCGTTTATAATTTTCCATTAAATTCTTCTTAACCTGTCTTTTTGCAACTTATCTATGCTTGTATCTTCTTTCGCCTATTAGCCAAGGTTGGTGGTTTACGGGTCCGCAAAAACGTTTCGACTAGAAAATATAACAAGTTCTCCGCTTGGGATACTTCTTACCGGCCGCAATTAACAAACAAAAAGCCCAACACTATTTTTATTGTTCAAGAATCCAATGTTAAACAATATGACGACGAGACAGGTAAGAATTCTCGTAGTCGTAGTTGTACCATAACATACTCGTACAACATCTGTCGAACAAACATTAAAAAATCATAATATCTAATTACAGACAAAGAAAGCGACAAAAAAGTCGTATGCTACATGACTGGCTGGGCATTTTATCGGCGAGGCGAAGGAAAATTTGTCCCAGAACACATTGACTCCAGGCTCTGTACTCACGTGGTGTATGCCTATGCATCCCTTTCTCCTGACGAGCTTATTGCAAAGGAGTTCGACCCATGGGCTGACTTGACAAACAGTAAGTAAATAGTACAATCATACAAAGAAAAAACATAAAGTCAAAGATTTAAAAAGCAATGATTTCTTTAACTTTTAGATGCATACTAATTTATTCTTTTTCAGATTTATACGAACGAGTAACTTCTTTGAAAGACGTCAAAGTACTCCTTGGATTGGGCGGGTGGACTGACTCAGCTGGTGACAAATACTCCCGACTGGTCTCCTCCGACTCAGCTCGATCGAAGTTTATACAGAAGCTGATACCTTTCCTGCGCATGCACAACTTCAATGGACTCCACTTGGACTGGAACTACCCCGTGTGCTGGCAGAGCAACTGCAAGAAGGGCGCAGCGTCCGATAAGGCGAATTATGCTGTGTTTGTTCAGGTATGATTGAAAACATACACAAACTTATTAATCAGAAGTCTTCTTTTTGATATTATCAAAAATTCAATGGTAGAGACAGAAACTAGTTTTTGAAATTATGCTACGAAATAACAAGGGATGACGACCAGGCAAAGGAGAAATTTAGGAAATTACATGACATTAAATAAACTTTAAATGACCTGAATAACTTTGCTCTACAGGAACTATCAAAAGCGCTGCACGCAGCTGGCATGGAGCTCGGGGTAGCTCTGTCAGGGTACAAAGAAGTGATCGACTCGGCGTACGACTTGCCAGCGATATCGAGGGCAGCCGACTTCATGAGCACCATGACGTACGACTACCACGGCGGCTGGGAGTCGAGCACGGGGCATCATACCCCACTTGTTCCTGCGCCCGGCGACGCTCTAGCTTATTACTCCATTGTAAGTAAAATAATAATGCAAGTATTTTTTTATAATATAGGTCCTAGATATTATTATTATATACAAGCGAATGCATGGCATGGCGCATGATTGGGAAAGCCGACCCCGCCTAACGGTGATTCCGAGGCAGAAGATTTGAAGAAAACTAGATATTATTATATCGCAGCGATGCTGCTACAGCTTTAGATTTTATTATTTTAAACGGTTGAATTAATACATTTCAGGAATACGCTATCAAAGCTCTTCTAAAAGGTGGCGCCGACCCTAAGAAACTGCTCCTAGGATTGTCGTTCTACGGTCAATCATACAGATTAGCCAAGGTAGAAGGCTCGAAGAACCCTGGGGCCCCAGCTGGGGGCCCTGGCGAACCAGGGGAATTCACCAAGCAACCTGGAATGCTGGCCTACTATGAGATTTGTTACAGAGGTTTGTCATTCGATTTAATAACTAACAAAAATCTAATGTAGAAACAAATTAAGGTATTCTACCTAGATAACTAATTTCGTTGTGTTATGTTTTACAGTAAAGAACTTACGTTGGGCAACGGGCCGCCAAGCGAATGCTGGACCTTACGCGTATTCCGACAGTCAATGGGTTGGATATGATGATCCCAAGTCGATTACTGAAAAGGTCAGTATCAATGATATTATAGAACTATAGATATGTTACGTTCATAGAAATTACGATTTTAATCCGTACCGAGCTATTCAAAATTGCACACATTGACAAATGTAACTGATAAGTGAAACAAAAGATACGAAATAGCACGCAAATGAAAGAGATAGCTATAGTTTTAACGATTCTGCACTAACTAATCTATGTCCGCAGCGCACGCATCCTTATCGCTCTAACGTCAAAACAAGATCGCTTTCTCTTTCTTAACTTGAACATGGCGCATGGCGTCTTGATTGTTTGCATAATTAATTGAAAATATAAATACTAAATAATTTTGCATAATCACATGTGGTAAGAGATCCCTTGTATTTTGTTTACTTTAGAGTCATAATTGGTACACTTTCGAAACACACACGATGGCATTTTTTATTTATTTTGGTAAGAACACAGGAACTTACGGTGTGGTACGCACGCGATTGCGCACGACGCAGGCCACACGAAGACTAAACACAAGACGTCCCAATTGGGACGTTTTTGAGTATTCACAGCGCGAGCGCTTATGACATATCTGCTTTTGTTTTTATATAATATCATTGGTCAGTATTAAATCTTTGCGTGCACACATATAAGAACTTTTCTTTAATTTTTATAAATTCCAACTCTTTGCACAAAATAATAGAAAACATTATACTGGCCACTTTTTGTTGTAAAATGGATTTAGAAAAAAATATTTTTATTATTTAACAACTTAATGGCGCCTTTATTATATTTTCTCAGATTAAAATGGCCAGACTTTTTATGTGCCTATAATTTTAAGAACGATAACGTTAAGTCAAATTTTCTTTCAGTTAACTATTTTCTTTTATTTAAATTATAGGTAATAACGCCTTTTAATTAGCAAAAAGTTCGGTAACAATCATCATTCCGCATACTTTTTTGTTACTTGTAAAAAATATTTTAAAAAGTTTAGTCTGCTTTATCTGTCAAACGATATTGGCGGGAAACACGTTTTCCTTTCGAAATGCAATCATTTCAATATCCAGAAAAAGAAAACCTAGTTAGGACTGTTAATAAATTTTTATTAATCTTACACTTAAAAAAACGGTGCAAATCGGAAATCTGTATAAGCGAAATGAAATAAATAATATTTTTATACACTTACAAACCTACCTATGGATTTTTTGGAAGTATGGGTTCGGCCCATAATTTTTCAACTTATTGATTCTGGAAGGTTTAAGTTTAACGTTCTGTTCCTTCAGGTGGAATGGGCAATGCGCCAAGGCTTAGGCGGGGTGACAGCCTGGGCGATAGACTTGGACGACTTTAACAACCGCTGCTGCGCGGAGCCGTCGCCGCTTCTGCGCGCTGCCGGCCGGGCGCTTGGCCGTTCTGTACCCGCGCCAGGCGCCGAGTGCGAGCGCCCGCCGCAGCCGGTTACACCAGCACCTCCTACGACTACTACTGCTCAGGCTGATGGTAAGTCTCTGAGCTTGGCAGAACTTTGAACAAACTGCCTGAGCAATAGACTGACAACTTCAATTAAGCGAGCGCCAGCCGCAGCCAGTCATTACGACTACCACTGCGCAGGCTGATGGTAAGTCTCTGAGCTTGGCAGAACTTTGAACAAGCTGCCTGAGCAATAGACTAACAAATTCAACAAAGCGAGCGCCCGCCGTAGCCAGTTATTACGACTACCACAGCCGGTCACACCAGCACCTCCTACGACCACCACTGCACAGGCTGATGGTAAGTCTCTGAGCTTGGCAGAACTTTGAACAAACTGCCTGAGCAATAGACTGACAAATTCAACAAATAATACGAGCGCCCGCCGTAGCCAGTCATTACGACTACCATTGCGCAGGCTGATGGTATGTCTCTGGACTTGACAGAACTTCAAATAAGTTCTTGAGCAATAGACTTGGACGACTACAACAACTGTTGCTGCACGGAGCCGTCGCCTTTGTTGCGCTCTTGGTAAATGTTGTCAAATACCGAATATTGATTGAAGTTAATTAAAACAAAAATAGGATAACAGAAGAGCAGCGACATGCCGGAATGATGAAAAATGGAAATATTCGATACACCTTCCTAACTATACAATAAGTTTTATGGTATTGTTTTAAGATTTATTGATTGCTTTAGGATCCCTCGGTGGCGGCGACCATAGCGGCCACGACCACGGCCAACATACGTCGACGACCTGGGGCTGGGTGCCCAGTTCGACGACGCCGACCTCCGCGCAGACGTGGTGGCCGCCCGCTACCACGCCCAGCACGACCACCACTACTAAAGCCACCACCACCACCACCACGACCAGACGACCCACTGCGGCCCCAGTGCGCCCGCCTCCCGATGCAGGTATATTAAAAACATACACTCTTTGATTGGCTTGATACTTCTACATAATGATGTGTGCTTATTACGTAATTTTATTTCATGAGTGGAATTTTCATCAACTTTAGCATATACTCCAGTATTATAGCACTGTAAGATCATAGTATGAAGATTTTGTTTTCAGGGAGTGTACTAATTGTTTCCGCTGTGAGATTTCAGGCGAATATTATGACGATAAAAATCTTGTTATTTTCCAAAATAATTAAGTATATCCTTTATTTATCTATGTCACTTGTAATGTGACATCGCATATGAAGTCTCTTGTGATATCACTTATGACATCGTTTGTAGAGTCACTTGCGTGTGACGAAGCAACTAATCCAAACTTCTGTATTCTCTTCAGGCGGTCTAGAAGGCACGTCATGTACCGCGGGCGAGTACCGCGCGGCGCCGGGCGACTGCGGCGGCTACCTGCAGTGCGAGGGTGGACAGTGGCGCAAGCAGCGCTGTGCGCCCGGCCTACACTGGGCCGCGTCCGCGCACCGCTGCGACTGGCCCAGCTTCGCCAAGTGCACTGGTAAGTTATGCGATGCGACAGTTTCTTGGGGTCCGAATGATGTATCTTAAACGAGGGTGAATATCGCGTGGTGCCGGCCGACTGCGGCGGCTACCTGCAGTGCGAGGGCGGGCAGTGGCCGCGCACCGCTGCGACTGGCCCAGCTTCGCCAAATGTGTATTACAACAAGGGTCATAATCGCGTGGCGCCGGGCAACTGCGGCAGCTACCTGCAGTACGAGGGTGGGCAATGCAAGCTGTACTGTGCGCCCGGCCGCCCACCGCTGCGACTGACCCAGCTTCGCAAAGTGCACTGGTAAGTTAAGCAACTATTTCATTTGGTCTGCACGATGTGTATTACAACAAGGGTCATAATCGCGTGGCGCCGGGCGTTTGCGGCGGCTACCTGCAGTGCGAGTGGTTAGTGGCGTAAGCAGCGCTGTGCTCCCGGCCTACACTGGGCCGCGTCCGGGCACCGCTGCGACTGGCCCAGCGCAACTGTTTCCTTTGGTCTGCAAAATGCGTCTTACAACAAAGGTCATTATCGCGATCATATCCGAATTGATAAATAACTTTTTCAACAGAAGAATCATCTAGCAACGAAGCAAGCACAGCGACCAGTACGCTAGCGCCTATGACGTCACGTCCCCCGCCAAGGCCGTCTACAACTACGAGACGAACTACGACATCTACAACTACAACTACCACTACTACGACAACGACCACGCCTAGGCCTACGACGACTCGTAAGCCTACGACCACGTCTAGGCCTTCTGCGCCGAGCAGCAGCGGTAAAAGATTAATCTATATTACAAAAAATACTTAATTTAATTCTAAAATGCATTTAGCATCTCATCAAAATATTGTTTTTTTTTTATCAGAAGAAGTTTCGGATGGCAAGCCGTGCAATAACCAAGGTTATAAGCCAGCCAGTGACTGTAACTCATACCTTCACTGTGATGGAAACATGTGGATTAAGCAGCAGTGTGCGCCCGGACTACATTGGAGCCCCACTGAAAACCAGTGCGACTGGCCCAAGTACGCCAAATGCAAAGGTAAGGCCACAACATAGAAAATGTCTCTGAAACGTTGTAGAGAAAGTAAATTAATTATTAACCACTTCTTACCGATAGTGGCTGAATCGTTGCCATGGTGGAACTTTTTAAACTTTTGAACTTTAGCGACATAAAATATGGTTCAAAACCATTTTTCTCTCCAGTTTTCTCTATATTGGTTAAAGGGTAACTACTTCATATCATAAAATTGTTTCATTCAGTTTCAGCATCCAAACCAACCACATCTGCGCCAAGACCGACTTATCCTTCTCCAAAACCAACGAGTCTGAGTACGTATTCTGTTTTTAGTGTTTTTTGTCATTTCAATTTCTTCTTTTCTTAACGTCTTTTGTTTTATTCAACCAGTGCCGTTCAGACTACTTAGACGTGTCTATAAATTGTTTAACATTACATTTTTCTTTTCCTAACGTCTTTTGTTTCATTCAGCCAAGAGGCAAGCCGTGTGTTTAATTTTTATCGTTTCATTTTCTAACTTCTTTTGTTTTATCTAACCAGTACCTTCCAAAGACAAGCCGTCTCTTTATCACTACGATTTCTCCTTTTTTCCTAACGTCTTTTGTTTTTTCACACCAGTTCCATCGGGAGACAATCCGTTCGAAGACGGTCAGTGTGGTTCCAACGACGTGCATGCGCCGGCCAAGTCGTGCGATTCGTACCTTCTGTGCGTGGGCGGCCGCTGGCGCAAGCAACTATGCCCGCCCGGCCTGCACTGGGACAAGCGGACGAGTCGCTGCGACTGGGTCGAGTTCGCTATGTGTCAAGAAGGTGAACGTCATTATGCTACATTCTAAAACACCACACTACACTTATTTTCAGTTGTCACTGGCACTACTTTGTACGGACTACTACATACGCCTACTCAAGTCGTACTACTGCCTCCCAGGATCACTTGTAGTTGCGGGTTCAAACCCCGCAAAAAACATGCAAAATTGATGTTCTGCGATTGGATGGGTCGTACTCACAGAGAATGCCATAATACACATCGGAAGACATAACAAATCACAAACTCATTCATAAAATGGTCTATCAATTGAAAATGAAATATTTTATTTAGCGACGCAAAACAACAGCAAAAAATTAATAAAAAGTTTTCTTTCAAATCTCTAACCACTGCTTATATCATGGTAGATAAACCATCGGCAACGAAATCTCCGATAGCACAATCAACGACAACAACGACTACTACTACTACAAGAAGACCTACAACTACTACAACAACAACTAAAAGACCAGTCTCCGCGGCTATTGAAGAATCGCATAGACCGAGCACGGTAAGTATAGCTACTACTTACTTACTTACTTAAAATCAATTTTATGACTCAAAACAGCTGATTTATAAAGAGCCCTTCTACGAGTATCTATAGACTTCTAAAATGTTTGTAGCATCAAGTTTCAGAACAGCATGAAAAGAGATGTGTAAACACTCAAAACTTTCAGGGTTGCATAACCGGCACGTACTATCCCCATCCGAAATGCGAGAAGTTCTTCGTATGCGTAAACAACTTGATGGTGGCTCAGAGTTGCGCGCCGGGACTGGTATGGAACGCCGAGCGGTCGCAGTGCGACTTCCCTAGTTCGGTCTCTTGCTCTGACAGGAGACAGGTCATGTCTGCAGCTATGACTGACGCTAGCGGGGAATCTACCTCTATGCAACTCAACGATGAAGTTCCTTGTGAGTACAAAATTACCGTGATTTTAAAAATCTTTCAGAACATAAGCAAGCAGCCAAGATCTAGGCTGCCCTTGTAGCTTCGCTATAAAGCTACCCATGGTTTTAAAAATGGCGACGACACATATGAGAGAATGTGTCACAGAGATAGTAGATCTGGCATGGTTCGATCAATCGAAGCTTTTGAATATGTCGTGATCTGAGTGTAATGGATCACGTGATCACTTAATAAATAGCTTATAGTCCAGTCAATTTAGACATGAACCCTGCATTAATTCGCATACAGCTGAAAATTGGTACGCATGTTCGGAGCACCATTATAAATTAACTGTGAAAAGTCCCCATCGATCCGACATGTGCTAAAAAAAAAATTCAAGGTCAAACTTAAAAAATACGGGTTTTTGAGATTTTCAGCTAAACGGTAAGTTTTATCACAAAAATATGTATGACAAGGTTTAAGATCATACTATTATCTATCAAAATTGTCTATACACTTTCTCCTAAGAGTCAGCGTTTCTGAGATTTGATGATCAGAAGAGTCAAAAAAGTGTTTTCTTCATAACGGTCTTACACATAAATCCAATGTGATATCGCCTCGTGCCTCGACTCAGCATTGTATCATGATGTGTTGTCGACGTCGAATATAAAATAATCAACCTTAATGTCGTCTGTCATCTTTAATTATCGAAAAATGGTTGCAACTTTGACGAAGGATTGCACCGTGAGTTTCTAAGATACGAAGTTTTCGTGTTTATTATGTTTAAGAGCTCTTATATGCACACGTCACTACTCTACTTCTAACTCTATGGTCACTCTTTTAGCCCGACCAAGTTAGACAGTCCAGGTTATAATAATTCGCATAGAGCTGAAAATTTGTGTGAATGTTGAGAACACCATTCTAAATGAAATGTCAAAAGTCCCCGACGATCCGTCATTTAAAAAAAAAGTTTTCGAAGTCCCAAGTTTTTTGCATTTTTTGGCCAAGTAGTAAACTAATCATAAAAATAGATAAAAAATAATAGTAGATCATAAAATTATCTATCAAAATTATCTTTGCCCCTTTTTCCTAAGAGTCACCGATTATGAGGTAGAACGAATCAAAAAGTTAGTTAAGATGTTCTCGTTATATGCACATGTTTCCACAACACCTATGATGGGTATTTGGCGCATTTTTTTTACCAGGTTTCCCCAGTAGGCCTTTTTTAAGATGTATTTGTTATCCTGTTCAATTCAAAACTATTTTAATAGAGTTGAAGTTGTGGACTCGTGGAGTAGTTAACAGAATGCGAATTCTCCAACTTTTTGCATCGTTACCACATAAACGGTGACTCTTAGGAAAAAGGGGCAAAGACACTTTTAATAGATAATTTTATGATCTACTACTATTTTTTATCATTTCTTATGATAAGTTTACTGTTTGGTGGAAAAATGCAAAAAACTTGGACTTCGTAAATTTTTTTTTCAAATGACGGATCGTTGGGGACTTTTGACATTTCATTAAGGATGGTGTTCTCAACATTCACACAAATTTTCAGCTCTATGCGAATTATTATAACCTGGATTTTCTGACTTGACCGGGCTAAAAGAGTGACCATAGAGTTACAAGTAGAGTAGTGACGTGTGCATATAAGAGCTCTTAAACCTAATAGACACGAAAACTTCGTATCTTAGAAACTCACGGTGCAGTCCTTCGTCAAAGTTGCACCCATTTTTCGATAATTAAAGATGACAGACGACATTGAGGTTGATCATTTTATATTCGACGTCGACAACACATCATGATACAATGCTGAGTCGAGCCACGAGGCGATATCACATTGAATTTATGTGTAAGACCGTTATGAAGAAAACACTTTTTTGACTCTTCGGATCATCGAATCTCAGAAACGCTGATTATTAGGAGAAAGTGTATAGACAATTTTGATAGATAATTGTATGGCCTTAAACCTTGTTATACATATTTTTGTGATAAAACTTACCGTTTGGCTGAAACTCTCAAAAACCCGTATTTTTTAACTTTGACATAGAATTTTTTTTTTAGCACATGTCGGATCGATGGGGACTTTTCACAGTTAATTCATAATGGTGCTCCGAACATTCGTACCAATTTTCAGCTGTATGCGAATTAATGCAGGGTTCATGTCTAATTTGACTGGACTATTAGGGAACAAGAGGATATATCACTGAGTTTTATTAATAGGTATACCAAAAAATTGGTTATTTATGTACTAAATCACTTCAATAAATTACTCCTTTCCATAACTCAACATGTGTCGACGGTAAAGTGAAAAGAAGATGTTCTGAACTGAAAGCATAGATGATTATAAAACTTGATATGTAAATCTTTATTTAACTTGTTTAACTGCTTCAGTCGAATCCTCTTACTATTATGGAGCCCGTACTACGTTGATGGACCCTTCCCACTACGTTGATGATGCCTTGTACACACCAGAGCCTACTATGTCCGATGCTATACCTGAGCCCTCCAACTCTCAAGAAGAACGTACGTTATCGTCTATTTGATAGATCAAATCATCACATATATGGAAACCCAACCCCAGATCAACTGGGTAAAACACTAAACAGGAAAAAGTATTCCAAATCGATAATTTAGGATATCACAAGAAAACCCAAAGAAACGGAGGTTGTACATGGACAACATTCACATCAACTACTTTTTCATTTTCATCATCATCATTCATCATAACCACTGGAGCAATGGACTGCAATTTATTGGTTCTTGGTGATCATTCATGACATTCTCATGCTTGCCATCCAAGTCTACATCAATTAGTTTCTTGTTTTGTAGGAATAAAATAACAATGGTATGTTTACAGTGTATTGTGATAATGGGCAGTACGCAATGCTCCCGACTGACTGCACTCGCTACCGACACTGCATCTTTGGAAAGTTCGAAGAGTTCTCTTGCAGTGCTGGTCTTCACTGGAATCAGGTAAAAACATAACTTCACCTATCTGGGCAACTATTTACTAGTTAATATAAATGTACCAAACTAAGATCGATTTCGTTTCTCATAGGAAAAACAAATCTGCGACTGGCCGAGCAACGCCAAATGCAAAGCTAAAGGAACCACTAAACCTAAACCTACGGCAGCGCCAAAACCAGAGTCCTCTACGCGACCCTCTAAGCCTACAAAACCCGTCTACATTGACAACGAGGATCATTTACCGGAGCCAAGTCCGACTAAACCGATCGCGTCAGCACCGCCTACTGGAACTTTACCAGATCTACCCTCAAAGCCGTCCCTGCTGAATTGTAAGTTTAATTAATCCTTGCCTCAAAGTTTTATGGAAATTATGTAAGGCTTGCCATACACGGAACCGCTCGAGCAGTTTATGACTAAAGTCTGGTCCGTGAGCACGTAGAATTTTGTCCAATGACCCCAAGCTACCCATCCTTATCGATCGCGCGTAATTATGTTGCTGTCTCGCTCGCACACTCACTGCGGGCGCCCGTCGCACAGTCGCGACAGCAATATAATTACGCGCGAGCGATAAGGATGGGTAGCTTGGGGTCATTGGACAAAATTCTACGTGCTCACGGACCAGGCTTTAGCTGACAGCAGTTTATAACTCGAACTGTCCGTATAAGACGGGCCTTAGTGACACTTCCTATATTCCTATGTTCTAGCCCGCTACAAGCTGGTCTGCTACTACACCAACTGGTCGTGGTACCGGCCCGGCATCGGCAAGTACAGCCCCGAGGACATCGACCCGTCGCTCTGCACGCACATCGTATACGGATTCGCGGTCCTGGGCAATGATGGACTCATGACGGCCCACGACACCTGGTCCGACTATGACAACAGTAAGATTTTGTAAACAATAATACTGAACACAATAGTAAACACAAATTGAATAAGCTTTTTTTGGTTTATAGTAGTCATGTCACTAGGACGCATAGTTTCCGAGGATTAAGCGAAAAACCGAAAAGTGGTACCTTTAAACCCCCCTCTACCCGCCGGCTCAAGGGTTAAGGGCGGGGACTTTTGCTATGTTCACCTCCTAACTAGTCTAAATAGAGTCCCGAGGTCAGAAATTGTGTTACACAAATTTCTCTCTACACCGTCGTTAAAGCATTCATTGACTGGACTAATAGTACCTAGGTTTCTATCTATCTAGTAATACTCGTACTAAATACACTACAGTACCTCTTACCTACTTAAAAACAGGGCGTAATGCAGAGCCTATGTAGCGTCATGCGTCTTCTTCCTATTTGCAGATGTGTAACTAATTCGGTGTTCGTTCGTTCGTTCGTTTCAGCCGAAAAACGTCCACTGCTGGACAAAGGCCGGTGTATTTATATGGAAATAAAAACTAAGAATCAACATAATGTTTTTAGAATTAAGATACTTATTTCAATAGATAAAATCAATGGACTTCGTATTCTTATGTAAAAACAAAAATACCTACTTATTCACTTAGTGATATTTGCATAAATATTAATTTCTCCATAATTATAAACTTTTTTTCTATAACAGGATTCTATGAGCGCGTGGTAGAGTACAAACGCTACGGCATTAAAGTCTCCCTGGCCCTCGGTGGGTGGAACGATTCCGCTGGAGATAAGTATTCCAAACTTGTCAACGACCCAGCAGCTCGCGCCAAATTCGTTCAACACGCTGTAACCTTCCTCGAGAAATACGGATTTGATGGTCTCGACCTCGACTGGGAATACCCTAAGTGCTGGCAGGTCCGTTCTTCAGTGTATTTTATCAAGTTGTATTTCTTCAGTTGTTGCCGATTCCATTTCTCTACATGACTGACTTATGAAAACAAATTTCAGGTCGACTGCTCAAAGGGTCCAGATTCCGACAAGCAAGGTTTCGCAGACTTAGTACACGAACTATCTGCTGTATTAAAACCTAAGGGACTGCTACTGTCTGCAGCGGTATCGCCCAACAAGATGGTTATAGACGCTGGATATGAAGTGCCAGTTTTAGCTCGCCTTCTCGACTGGATCGCTGTCATGACTTACGACTATCACGGCCAATGGGATAAGAAGACTGGTCACGTCGCACCTTTGTACTACCACCCTGATGATGACACCACTTACTTCAATGCTGTAAGAATTTTTAGAGCTTTCAAAACATACCTAATGCGTTTTTTGTTATAAAAATTCTAATGCAACCAAAATCAATCCACAGAACTATACAATTCACTATTGGATGGAGAAAGGCACCCCAGCTTCCAAGATCGTTATGGGAATGCCCATGTACGGACAGAGTTTCACAATCGGTGATAAATGGGACTCGCCCAGGGAACAATGGAGAAAGGACGCCAACGGCCTTAATATTCCTGTCTCCGATGGTGGTGAACCAGGAGAATATACAAGGGCTAAAGGCTTCTTAGCTTATTACGAGGTAAATTAATAAAATTATTGACTAGACCTATAAATTATTAGACAGAAGATTTATTTACATTACAATTTCAGATTTGTGACCGCATCAGAAACAGCGGCTGGACTGTCGTTAAAGACCCATACCAACGCATGGGACCTTACGCATACAAGGGCAACCAATGGGTGTCATTTGATGACGTAGAAATCATCAAGAAGAAAGTCAACTTCATCAAATCCCTGAACCTTGGTGGTGGTATGATCTGGGCGCTTGATCTCGACGATTACAGGAATAGGTAATATGATGAATAAAAAGTGTCCACAGTACATTTGTAATTTACAGCTAAATTACAGAAAGAACGTTATAAAAACCTATCATAAAACTTCTAGGTGCGGCCAAGGAAAACATCCACTTCTCAACGCAATCAAGTCTGAATTACTCAACCCCAAGATAGAAATGGAGAAGGAAATGCAACAAAAACCTCATAAACCTATTTACGAACCTCCAAACAATATTGACGATGACTTGGATGATATTCAGGTGCCAATATACCATAGACCGACCTCTCGCCCGACCAGTCAGACAAGCATCATGACTACTACGACTAAGAAACCAGTTATGGTTGCAGCTCCAGTTAAAGAGGAACGGTTTAAAGTTGTCTGTTACTATACCAACTGGGCTTGGTACAGGTAATAACAAATCAATCAATTAAATGATAAATCTGCTTTTCATCGTCTTCTGTTTTTATTTATATTTTTTTTACATTTTCAGACCCGATAACGGAAAGTACACTCCTGGCGATATTAACCCAGAACTGTGCACCCACATCATTTACGCATTTGCAGTACTAGACAAGGAGGAGCTGGTGATAAAGTCACATGATATTTGGCTAGATGTAGAAAATAGTAAGTTAACCTACGTTACATTTACGCTTTAGGTACTTATCACCTGCTATTAGTTTGGAACTGTCCAAGTGTTATTTAAGAGGATGACATTGGCCTGGCATGAAATTGGCCGCTGAAAATGTAGCTAAAGAAAGAACATCTTCTCGATCGAATCTGTATAAAACCTACTCGATTATCTCAAAAGACAAATAAATACTACTAACAAAACGAATTTCACAGAGTTCTACGAAAAGGTCACAGCCCTGAAGAGTCACGGTGTAAAGGTGCTTCTCGGTCTGGGCGGTTGGGACGACTCGGCAGGAGACAAGTACTCGCGACTGGTGAACAACGTCTCTGCTAGAAGGAAGTTCGTAGTCCACGCTGTTGATTTCCTCGAACAGTACGGATTCGATGGACTTGACCTCGACTGGGAATACCCTAAGTGCTGGCAGGTAATAAAATGAAATATCTTCAATCAAAGACTTCTATAAATGATAAACTACTAACTTTGTTTGGACAGATAATTGGGATAGTGAGTTATTTGAAATTAATCTAAGTTAGTTGGTTTTACAAGTATCATTTCTCAACAGGTGGAATGTGAGAAAGGACCCGATTCTGATAAGCAAGGTTTCGCTGATTTGGTTAAAGAATTACGCAAGGCATTCAACCGTCGCGGTATGCTGCTATCTGCTGCAGTCTCTGCTAGCAAGCGTGTCATTGACTATGGTAAATGACTTTCCAACTAAAAGTTTTATTTTATTTTAAAGAAGTCATTTAATTTGTTGTGTATTATTTCAGCTTACAACGTACCAGCTCTATCAATGAATTTGGACTGGATCTCGCTAATGACGTACGACTACCACGGTCAATGGGACAAGAAAACTGGCCATGTCGCGCCTATGTATGTCCACGACAAAGATACCGATAACACATTCAATGTGGTGAGCTTATAATTATAATAATACTTTAAAGTTAGTTGATTGAAAACATCATTTTCAGAAGACCTTTTAAGACTTACAATCCGATTAAGCTAAATGCGCACCTCGCTGAATGCGACTTTCCCTCTCACTTACGGGACTTCACAGCTGCCAGGTGCGCAGTTACCTAACTCGACCGGGTTTAAAGGTGAAAATGAAATTTTCCATCGCGTAAAAAGGAGATGATATTCAAACTGTTTTTTTTTCCAGAACTTCACGGTCAACTACTGGATCAACAAAGGCGCAGATCGCAAGAAGTTGGTGGTGGGCGTTCCATTCTACGGACAATCGTTCTCGGTGGTGGAGGGCGCCGGGACCGGGCTTGGTGCGCCGACGTATGCAGGCGGCGAAGCTGGAGACGAGACTAGGGCTAGAGGCTTCTTGTCCTTCTATGAGGTACGAAAATATTTTGCGTTTTAGCCTTTCTCATCAGCACAGTAAAGATAAAGGACTAACATTTGCGAGGAGTGTCCCATTTACTCAGTACCGGATTAAGACTACTTGATGCCCTAGCAACAATCCACGCCCGTGCTGCCACCCATAAGTATCATAGTATGGCTTTTTAAAAAAATGGCAATTTTCTTTATAGAAATGCGACTAGCCACTTTTTTACAGGAATGCAATTCGCGGAAAATATTTTTATGCCGTTTTTGGTGATGCTCTAGTCTAAGCTATTGCCTAATTGCTTATAAGTTAATCTGGTGCTGCATTTACTATAAAAGTTTGAGGAGGTTTGTTTGCCTTAAGATTCTGAGATTCTGAGTAATGAACAGGAGATAAAAACTACAAACTTTTGTCAAATTACAGATCTGTGAACGAGTGAAAGTGAAGGGCTGGAAAGTTTACCGCGACCCAGGCGGTCGCATCGGGCCCTACGCTACCCACGACGACCAGTGGGTGTCCTTCGATGACGACTTCATGGCTCGCCATAAAGCCGAATACGTCCGAGCTATGGAACTCGGAGGCAGTATGGCTTGGTCCTTGGATCTTGACGACTTCACCGGCAAATACTGCGGCTGTGGGAAAGCACCTCTTCTAACTACCATAAACCATGTGTTAAGGGGAAAGGACGCTCCACCACCGTGCATTCTTGAAGAACGTAAGTATGAGAAAGACAATTTTTTCATAGTCTTGAAAATTAGACAAAAATATCATCTCAAGTCAGGTTGATGGTGTTTAAAATACCTGTTGCTGCTCAAAAGCTTAAAGTGAAAATAAGTAGTCCTCTCAAAAATCATAATATTCTTGTACTATCGGCAACAGTGTTAACTGCCCATTGCTGGTCATGCCGTCTCGTTCTATCGCAAAGCACCCTTTGATGAGAGCGAGAGCAAAAACGGAAATGGGTTAGTTAACATTGTGGCCGTGTGTACATTTTTAAACGTTACAAAATCCTATTAATTCCTCGCTAACGATTGCTTCAATTTTTTCAGTCCAAGAATCATCGCCAATGGCAGTGCCTGGAGTACCATCTCAACCTGAAGTTCCAGAACCGGAAGAAAAACCAATGATCATTGACACTGATCATCATCAACACGTCGAACACGTAGAACCTAGTGTAAGTTCCTAATTTTTAACCTACTTCAAAAAAAGGAGGAGGTGCTATGTTCGACTGTATGTTTTTTTTATTACTATGTAAAAAATCTAGAGACAAGTTTCAATTTAATTAATGGTCAAATAAAAATATATTTTCCTTATTTCAGGGCACATCGCTTGATGGGAAAGCATGTTCTGGAGCCATTTTCAGAGCAGATGAGAGCAACTGCGCCAACTATTACTTGTGCGTTGGAAAGAGATACATGCAACTCACATGTCCCGCGCCACTGGTTTGGAACCAGGTGAATGACCATTAACTCATAAATTAAATAAGCCATAATAAATTAAATTAGCATATTATCGTGTATTTAGAGTGTGTCCGTTAAAGCACAGTTAAAGGATTATGAAAACCGGTCAAATCTTTTGCTTTTAAGGCACCGGTTTGTTTATGAATGCGTAAACATTGTTAGCGACTAATTAACGACATCCGAGCTAGTATAAAAATAGATCTTTCAATCTAATTTTGAAAATCATTACAACACGATTTCGATGTAACATTAATTCACGACGTAATTATGTACGTACCTACATCGTACGTGTTACATGAACATGATTATTAAAATGACTTATTGTCTTACAGAACCATTGCGACTGGCCTGAAAAATCGCAATGCAAAGGAAAGACACATTTGAGAATCAGAGATGAAATGGAGCCAGTAGTGCAAGACAAGCCTATACTTGCGTGTTACTTCACTAATTGGGCATATTACAGGTATTTTAGCGCTATTTTTAGTATTAAATTAAAATAAGTACTACCTAAATGGAAATTTTATTCCAAGTAATCGGGGATGTCATCAAAGGACCATCGTTAATTTGAAATACATTTTCTTCTAGACATGGCAACGGTAGCTTCGGTCCAGAACAAGTGGACCCATCAATGTGTACACACATCGTGTACGCGTGGGCACACCTTGATCCGGCCACTTACAAATTGGTGCCAGGAAACCCAGAACTGGATATCGATAACGGTAAATTCCTGAATTATACAAAAGCCTGAATTACTTATATTCAAAAGACTATTTTTTTCCGTACTAAAATTATAAAACCTACTGAAACGATTTTGATAGAGGCTTAGAGATAGTTTGAGTTCCGGGAAAGAGCATAGAATTGTTTTTATCCCAGTTTAAAAAAAATCAAGTTACTACTCTTTTCCTCATGAACGCGTAGACGTATCAAATTGAAATCCATATCAATAAATACTCAGGTCTTTAGACTGTAACAAAATAAAAGTTATATACCTACGGGTTTGTACGGAACCCTCGGTGTGCGAGTGTGACTCGCACTTGGTCGGTTTTTTAAATAAGGATGCGCGCGATAAAGTTTTCCTGTGACAGACAAAATTTCACGTGGTTGAAACCGCAGACAAAGGCTAGTAAGAGATAATAATAATGTGACTACTTACAGATTTCTACGGCAAGATGACGGAACTTCGTATGAAGGGAGTAAAGGTGATCATCGGTGCTGGTGGTTTGGAAGACTCGGAAGACGAGAAGTGGGTCGAGATGTCTTCGAGTCCTGAAAGCATTGACGTATTTGTAGAGTCCGTTCTGAAGTTCCTGAACAGATGGAACTTTGACGGTTTGCAGATCGCGTGGCAATATCCTGTCTGCAAACAGGTAAATTGACTCATTCATTATTTTGTTTGTAACATTTCAGATCGACTATTACCCCTTTTACAAAAAGTTAGACTGGTTGAACTCTGGTTTAAATTGACATTTAGTATGGAAAAGTCAATAGCAATAGTAGGTAGGCACTTTTGGCAATAGTAGAGCATGAAAGATATGGCACAAAGCTCACGTGCTAATAATAAACCATATCGGAATATCTGTCTGTAGTCCAAAATAGAAAGCTAGGGAATTCGTAGAACCGACACGACTTGTTATTATGCCTTAGGGTCGTCTTGCCAATATTACGTAAACGACACAAATGTTATTCTTCATTTCTTCTTTTCAGATCCCATGCACAGACTTCGATATCACCGAGAAAGACAACTTCAGCCTCCTCATCGCCAAACTTTCAAAGACTCTTCACCAGCACAACTTTGAGTTGTCCGCCTTGGTTTCTTCATCCCCGGAGGTGGCAGCACTGGCGTATGACCCAGAGGTTCTGACAGCCACTGTCGATTGGATAGCTCTGGCTGCTAACGATTATTATGCTTCTACATCAGGAAGAACTTCCTATTTGGTACCTTTGGAATCCATCGAAATGGCTGGGATTAACAGCTTCGTAAGTATATTATCACCCAAATCAGTTGGCTACTGCGTTGGCAACCATAAGCTAACTAAACAACTGAAGCGCTACGATATACTTGGTGACAGATGGTGAATGATGAGTATCCTGCTGTGGAGCTCCTTCAACATGTTAAAACTGCACGGAACAAATCTGCTTATAGTTTGGGACTGATGCAGATAAGCGCAAAAAAAAGTATATTATATTTTTTGTCTCATTGAGTCATGTCTTGGGCTTATGAAGTGTTGACGCTGACTTAGATGTCGATATAGGTAGCTATAAAGATGTATGACTACTGTACAATATCAGTTAACCTTACACCAAGTTCTTTAGAAAGAAAAAGTGACCATCAGATCACATACTGTGTTCTTTAAAGTCGTCTTGTTTCTGCAGTCGGCAATCATTCTCTCTTAGTTTAAAAACAGAACAGAAGTTTTTAAAACAGTCATTTTTTTCAGAACTCTTCCCTGGCATACTGGTCGAGCGTGGTGCCCGCTGAAAAACTCGTGATAGGCGTCCCGGCTTACGCGCGCTCCTACACGCTGCGCAGCGCTGCGCACAAGCACATACAGTCGCCCGTCACGGGACCAGGCATCCCCGGACATTTCACCAGGGTCCCTGGATTCCTTGCTTTCTACGAGGTTTGTAGTTTTAATGTTGTAGGGTAGATAGAGTCCGCAGACTGTTGACTGCTAAGCTAAGAATGACGCAAGTTGGTTTCATAAAATATTTTCTTTTAGATACCGGGTTAGTGATGTGTAAATAACAAGTAACTTTTTCGGCGTGTCATCGTCACGTATTAGTTATTTATAGCTGAGATTGCTCTATCTTTATTCTGAAGATAAAAAATGAACTAAGTCCATATTCGCACAAACTTGTTCAGCTCTTTCTTTCGTGGTGAAGTGGTGATGACTCAGCAATATCGTTTTTTATCGCAGCTATGTCCGGGGTCGAAGTGTAGCAGCTGGGAGGAGACTCGTACTGAGGACGGTACGTTCGCTGTGCACCGATCTCAATGGGCCTCGTACTTGCGGCCTGAGGAAATCCACCGGGTAGGAGCGAGCGCCGCGACAGCTGGCCTGAGGGGCGCCGCTCTATGGGCACTTGACTTAGACGACTTCCGCGCGCTTTGCTCCTGCGAACCCAACCCTCTCTTGGCCGCGCTACGGCAAGGTCTACTCGACCCCAACATACCGCCTACCCTCTGTAACTCAGAATAGTAATAACTTTAGACTAGGAATAGCCACGCTAGCATTTGGAAATGAGAACGAGACTGAAAACATTTATTATCGTTCAATATAGGTACTTGCTTATTTTTAATTTACCCTTGTTCCACTCAATATTTTTTTGTATTTACAGTATTTTTCAGACACGACTTCGTTCTTGTAATTAACAAAGAGTAGGTAGTACTTATGTTTATAATTATTATTGTAATTTATATTAAAAGGCGTAGCTTTACCAACTACGTTTGGATATTTTAAGTACACTTAAAATTAAGGATTTTAAAATAATGTAAAAACCCTACTCAAGAAAATATACTTATTTTGTGATATTTTTATTTTTTATCGAAGTAATTTTATACTACATCTTTGAATTCTATTTGACTTGACAATAATTTTATCATATTTTTATCGAAATACGATTACTGCAATTGTCATTTTGAGTAAAATTGCAAAGACAACAATGTTAATGTAAAATCGTTTCGTGCATGCACGCGACTATCTGTTTCTGTGGGTTAGTTGTTTGAAAATAACAATAACATTGTTTTGAAGAAATAAATGTTCAAAATGTGTTGGCATGTTTTATTTCATCATAAGAAGATAAAAACATAACCCTCCTTCTGTCGCAGTCGGGTAAAAAGTCATTAGATCTGGGGGCACGGCAGTGCCCCCACCAAGTCGAGCAAAAAAGCGGCACGGCCGTACCATCCTTTTCTCGAAGCAATTCAGGCCATTTTCGACTGCCTGTAACTTCGTTGTGGATAAAACTAGAAGGCTGAATTTTCATTAGCTATGCAGGCATTGTAAAGACACGGTATATTTAAAATTTCATTCAATTTGAACCAGTAGTTTAAGAATTATAACGGGTCAAAGTTACTTAATTTTGTCACTCACTGACTCACTGACTCACTGACTCACCGATCATCAAAACTCTAAGGCACTTCTAGCAGACNCTATATCTTTTCAATTTTATCAGCATTCTGTGGGGATGCATTTAGTAAATTAGTACATCCCATCAAAAACAATACTTGTCAAAAAAACCAAGTCTCGCAACTCAGTTGTTCTACGGTAAAAAGTTGTGAGATCCATGTAATACCAAGTCCAGGCCAGGAAATCTTTAACGTTTTACATAAATATATTGACTTGGCCATCGCATGAAAACACGTGTAAATTAAATTATTTAGTGCGATGGCCAAGTCAATATATTTATGTAAAACGTTAAAGATTTCCTGGCCTGGACTTGGTATTACATGGATCTCACAACTTTTTACCGTAGAACAACTGAGTTGCGAGACTTGGTTTTTTTGACAAGTATTGTTTTTGATGGGATGTACTAATTTACTAAATGCATCCCCACAGAATGCTGATAAAATTGAAAAGATATAGGTACCTACGTAAACTTCCGTGTGCTTGAGTAGGCACCTGTCAGTATCAGTACAATATCGCTATCTTTTCTAACGTGTTAGACGTCTTATGATAAGAATAAGGACCGACTTAAATATCTTTCTTATCACATTTTATTCTATGCTATTATACTTAATCATTTCAATAATAACGTATTCTACATGATGAACCATTAATTTCCGGGTAGGTAATTCCGGTAGAGCATTTTCAGAAACATTCAGTTTTGATTCTCGGGCATAGAGTAACTTTGTATAAATTTTCGGGTAGCGAAATAGGCAAAAGCAAAAGGAACAAAAATGTATTTCAAGAAATTAATCTTGGTGTAGTACTTATTGTAAGGGCTATTATGAGGTAATAAATACATCGTACCTCTTAATAGCCCTTACATAAGTACTTTATTACAAAACAATTTCATGTATGACATCATTCAGGTTGATTCAATACGAGGTGGGATTGTAGAGGCTAAAGTCCACCGTGACTGCAAAATTGTAAATTCACTGCGTTACGTAGCGGCGGAGTTTGAGTTTGAGGCGCGTCGCGTTGCTACCAGCCAAGGTCTCGGCGCATGGCCCTGCCATTACTCTCGATCCGTACGTCATCGCGTTAGGTTATCCGTGATGTTACGTTATAAACAGTGTTATAAATGTTAAATATTACGAAATATTATTCTTCACACAAACTTTTCTACAAAATTGTTTGATTTAGTGAAATTTGATCATTCAAACTGTGGAAGCTCTACCTTAAATATAATCAATAAATGAAGCAATTGTGGGTTAAAATTAACCGAGGAATTAAGTGTTTCATCGCCTTCTAAACAAAAGGTGTTAACAGAACAAAGAGACGTTTTCTAACATAAAATTATTATTTAATTTGTATGTGATAAATAATATTTTTATCGTTGCCGCCTAAAATATTGCCATAATGGCACGTGGGTTATGTTTTCGCGCAATTTTTAATTCTAACTCATATTGTAGAAAACCAATAGCAATATTAGCAAATATTCAAAGTCATAATTTACATACTAAGCCAGAGGTAAGTTATTTTATTAAATGTATAGAATTGTATTACAAATATTATTCAGTTCAGTAGTAGATTTATCATTATTTGACTAATAGATTTTTCGAATGGAACCAAATTTTTTTTTAACAAAAACATTTGCTTGTTTTTCCAGATTCCCACAAAAGAAATCCAAATACCCATACATTATGGTCACATAGCGGCCAAGTTGTGGGGCAGTGACCAAGACCGGCCGATCCTGGCGCTACACGGCTGGCAGGACAACGCCGGCACTTGGGACACGCTCGCTCCCATGCTATGCAAAAACCGCTCCATTTTAGCTATCGACTTCCCTGGACATGGATTATCATCTCGCATTCCCGCAGGTAAATCAATAAATTACATTTGATTAAGGATTATATCAAATTGAATTGTTTAGTAGAACACCTAAGTAGGCATACTTATTACTGGATTGGTATTTCCTTGACGCAGATCATAATTATCTGTTTACGTCATTAATAATTAGCAAAACCGTATTGTTCTCTACGCTAAATATGTGCATATTACGTGAGTTTGAAATAGATGAACTGATACCTACTACATTTTAATTTTACTTATTCCAGGTATGCATTACTATACTTGGGAGCTTCCACGGCTGATCTTGTACCTGAAAAACTACTTCAAGTGGGACAAAGTGTCACTGCTCAGTCATTCCATGGGATCAATAGGAAGTCTACGATTTGCTAGCGTATTTCCGGACGAGGTCGACTGTTACGTAGCAGTAGACAGTATTATCTACGACGATTTTGATCTGAATCTTATTGTGGAAAGGTATCCGACTATATTAAGAAAAATTGAAATAGCGCAGACACGTTTAGATGAAGAACCGCCCTCGTATCCGATGGAAGAACTCGAAAAAATATGGCATTTAGGTACAAAAAAATCAGTTGCCCTAGAAAGCGTTAAATACCTCATAAAACGTGGAGCAAAGCCATCAGCAAAAGACCCCACAAAATATTATTTTTCGAGGGATTCTAGACTAAAACATGCCTTGTTTCAACCAGAGAACAAAAAATTCGTGGAAGCTCTCGTGAGAAGACTTAAATGTCCAACATTATACATAAAAGCCATAGACTCGCCGTACGCGTCGGACGAGTTTTCAATAGAGATGCGTGAAGTGATTGCGAGCAACAACGAAAACTACGAAATACATTTCGTGCCGGGAACTCACCACGTGCATTTAAACAACCCTGAAAGGCTAGCACCGCTAATAGAGCAGTTTATGAAGAAACACAATCTACGTATCTAAATCTAATACCAAAATAGGTATAATGATACATTTATTTTAACATGTAATAAATTATTACAATTGCTAGTAATTTATTATTCAGTCGGTAATAAATCCACTGAGTTAAAGCACACTATTTAGTAAGTGTTCTTTAATTTGTAATAAATATTAATAAACTAGCTGACCCGGCGAACTTCGTACCGCCTTAGCGTAGAGATTTTCTTAATATTTTTTTCCGTAAGAACCATCCTTGGACTTCCACAAACATTAAAAAAAAAGAATTGTCGAAATCGGTTCAGCCGTTCACACGTGATGCCGTGACAACGCGAAACGGGTTTCATTTTTATATATATAGATGAGTATAATTGAGGACAACCAAAGATTGAGACATCTTGGCGCCGAAAACACAGATAGTCAAAAGAGAAAACCAAATAAAAAACAGGAAGAAAGAAGAAAGCTTATAAATAAAATTATTTAATACTTATGATAGGAATCCAAAGAAAAATATATTTTTTTGTTAAAATTACAGTATTTTTGCAGTTTTAAAACTTTCTGTGAGAAATATAAAAAATCCTAAATATGTACTGAAAATTATTGTAAGCTAGATCCAACTTACTGAAATTGCTAAAAATGTACCAAGAAATACCCTAGGATTTTTTTAGAATCAAATATTTATTTATGCACTTTATGTAAAAACTATTGTACTTAAATACCTGATTAATATTATTAGAATAGTTTGTAAAAATGCACAAAAATTGTTATTTATTTGCTTTATTATTACACTTTTACATTAACCCTATGGGCTGTGTTGTTATGAGACTAGCATATAATGCTGTTCGTCTAAAGGAACATACATATTTTTTGTTATAATAATACAAAAACTAACATTAAGAGTAAAATTATGTTTTGTCATTGTCATCTAAACTAGAATTACTAATGTTGTCACAAACATGCACTCCTTTCCTAACTGGTAGCACTTTGATCAGAGCATCTTGCCAAGACACACCCTCACAAACTTTCAGCACTATCTCAAAAACTGTAACAAAAAAATTCTCAAATAAGTATTGAATATTGAAAATGTATAATACTCAGAAGTTCATAAGTAACAAAATAGGTAGATATTTACCATGGTCAATTGTTAAAACCTTTCTTGTTTGCATATTAACATATTTATCTAAAGGAAGCTGCCCATGTCTAATGCCCTGCTCTGTGGCTATTGTATGACACAAACCCTGAAAATAAATAATTTTATATTGTAAAATAATACATTGCTTCAAAAATTTTTGGATAAATAAATTATGCTGATATTACATTACTCACTTTGTGTTTATTGTGATCTACCAATCCACCAATTATATAAAAAGTGTCATCTTCAAAATTTTCAATGACATTCTCAGACTCGCTAGATAAGTAAACTAATTTTTCTTTTGGGAAAACATCCAAATAAGATTCTTCATGAAATTCAACCTAAAAACAATGTATAGTTAGAAACAATATAATTATAATGCTTTTAACAATTCTATATTTAACTATATAGTCAGACTTACATCCCAATTCTCATATCCATTATGTCTGGAAATATCATTTTTAGATTTCTCCCCAAAACTAGTTACATGAAATTGAAGAGGTGTGTTGGATCTTCTATTTATTGAATAACATCTCAGAATCTGTTTGATGACTTTATACCTGTCCTTTTCCATCATTAGATGATCAAAACTTAGGTCTATAATTATTCCAATATTTTTCTTAGACTTTTCAAATTTCATTTTCTTTAAGGATTTTCTATTCGGGCCTAAATCTATGTTGGCTTCTCGAGCTTCCTTGCGCCTTTCTTTTGCCCGCGCTTTTTCCTTAGCTCGTTTTTCAGCTTTATGGGTTTCCCATCTAACTTTTTTCAGCCACTTGCGCATTTGGTTTTTATTGAATGGTCTTGGTAGTTCGTTACCATCGTCATCCTTTAGACCAGGATCGGTACTTATATCAAAAAGAGTATACTGACGATAGCCGGTCGGAGTACCGACGGCTTCTGCTTCTTCTGGAGCTATTTGTAAAGAATCCTCTGTCATTTTGCCACAAAATTAGAAGATCTCTAATTTAGTAAACAACATCCAATATGATTCGTCAAGACTCCAATAGTGTTTAATTACATAAATAAATTGTACAAACTTGTGTTTTTTCCCAAATGTGATACTGAATTACACATTAATTATCAATCAAATAGCACATTTATCCTGAATTAATAATTTAAATAAATCTATTTGACCAACAACATAACCTCACCGCTAAACGTTCAAAACATGAGCTCCGAGCTGTCACTGTCACTGTCAAAATTTCAAAACATTACGTTTTTTTAATTTACAACTACAAACCAGGCAACGACGATATTATGAGAATAAAAATAGTTACCAACTTTAATTACCTAGTTATCCAATAAGGTCTGATCTGACGACTAAAGAAATGTCAGTATTGCCAACATAACAAAATAAATAATAGATACCACGAAATTTTATCGATATCGATAAAATAAAATGATTTATTGCACAGATGAGATTTATTGGATGTCTCGAACGAACGATACACTCTCTGTACTAAATGATTCTCTACTGACCTACCTATGTACAGACTTTTTAGCACAACTTTTAGTCTTAGTTCTTTTAGTCGCCGATAGTTAGGCCCGATTCTAATTTTTGTATGAAGAATCAGCCGATACACTAAGGTCCGCCAGTAACGGACTAAGAATACACGGACCGCTCATGCAGTCATAGTCAACAGCTTTGAAGCTGCCATTGCACAGCTTTGAAGTACTGCTGGAACAGTTGACATTAACTGCTCAATAAGTCACAAGCGCGCGCGATATGGAATTAAGAGCGGAGGCGGAGGTACGGAGGTACAAGAGCAGTCGACCGCTCAATCAGTCAGAGAGGTATGCCTGGAAGACGTCGTCGAAGCACCGACGTGTGTAGTGTAGCAGCGCCAGCTGCGCTAGCATTAATTAAACCGCTGACGGCTGAATCTGTTTAATTCGGTCTTTAAATGACGCGAAAGTAAAGCCTACCTACGCTAATAAATTAGCAAGATGCTCGTTTCGACGAGCATCTTAGCGTAGGCGTAGACGAGCATAGGCTTTCCAAAAAAGTCAGAAAACTATTTTTGAGATTGCATCAATAAAGGCATTGCATTTGAGTCCATGCAACTCTTCAAACATATGATTATGATATCTCATGATTGGCAAGTTAAATATTTAACCTATTTAACCCGTTTATAAGATAACAACAGAATTGTCACGAGATAATTAAGTTCTCAGAATAAACAAACCATTCTAAATAAACGATTTCACATTATCACGTGAGTACCTACTCTTGTGGTTAGTTTACGCTTAAATTTAGTCGTAGTCTACCATGTCCGCAGTAAGTAATTTAAAATTGTATAAATATCAAGTTATCGTTAAGTTATTCAAAATTCATACGCAGACAGAAATAGATAAATCAATAATTGCCTTCAGCCGCAGACCGCTCCGAGATCTTTGAACCGTTTGAATGCATTTCATTCTACGATATTGTAGATAAGTCTAATCTTTAGCTGCTAAACTGAGGTCTAAGAACCAATAGATTAGACAAAACCATAATATCTTCACTTATATGTCTACTTCACTCAATTACCCTCAGGATAGATACCAGTTATGGGGTGGCTGTTTCGAGGAGGAGCCATCAGCAGTTCTGCGTCGGCTGAACGATTCCTTGAGCGTCGACAGCCGGCTCTATCGCGAAGACATCCGCGGTAGCCAGTGCTGGGCCCGGGAGTTGCACCGCAGCGGTCTACTGTCCCACGAGGACCACCAGGCCATACAAGAAGGACTCGCGAAGGTGAGTTGAGGTGAATTGAGTTTTGTAAGAAGTTTGGGGAAGAATACTGCGGCAATCGGAAATAATCGTTTGGTTTCCAAAAAATATTTGAACCTGTAATTCCAGCCTACAAGCCGTATCTGGGACGGAATCTATACTAATATTATAAAGCCGAAGAGTCAATTTGTTTGAATGATAATCGCTAAAAAATGTTGCGAAAACGGTAAAAAATATTAAAACGATTTTCACGCGTACGAAGTCGCAGGCACAGCTAAGCTTGTAATAAACTGACAAACGAAATTCTACATGCAGTCTATGAACCGTCTGAACTGCAAAATTACAGGTAGAAAAGGAAATAGAGGAAGAGCTGACTAAACACGGGTGCCTAAATGACCCCGAAGAAGACATCCACTCGGCGGTGGAGCGAAGACTGCACGCGCACGCGGGCGATGCCGCGCTGCGCCTGCACACCGCGCGCAGCCGCAACGACCAGTCAGCTACCGATACCAGGCTGTGGATGATGGCCTCTATGCAACGACTGCACAGCAGCCTTTTAGAGCTTATTACGGTATGGACTTGTTCGTATAACGAAATATACGTGGTGTAATAAAGAAACGCGTAAAGCGTTTAGCCATAGCTAAATAGACATTACAATAGCCAATAGTTCCACCCAGAATTAACGTTTTTAAAGAAGCTGATCGTTTGTGTCAACTTATTTCTGAGTACCATCTATAACAGATCATCTGTTATTAGAATGAGCAAATAAACTAACAATATTAAATGTTAAATTGATTACAGGTTCTTGTAAAAAGAGCACAAAAAGAAATAGACATCATTGCACCGGGTTACACCCATTTACAGCGCGCACAACCAATACGCTGGAGTCATTTTCTTCTAAGGTTTTTCACCTTTTTGTTATTTTACTTATCATAAATCATGCTATCGTTAACGGCTATCAGCAATAACCACATTTGAAAGTGCTAATATTATTAATCATATTTATCTTGTTGTATGATAGTCACACCTGGCCACTGCATGATGACGTGGCGAGATTAGAGGAGCAAAGGAGCCGTTTATCCCGCTCTCCCCTCGGCAGCGGAGCAATAGCGGGGTGTGCCTTCCCCATCGACCGAGCTAGATTAGCAAAAGACTTGGGATTTGAGGATATCACACCCAATTCCATGTTTGCTGTCAGTTCCAGGGATCATATTGGTTGGTTCATTAGGACTACATTTTTTATTAATTGTCAAATTACCAAAAAAATCTCACAACAAATACAAAGAGAACTGTTTCGAGCAAAGGTTTCGAGATTTTAATTTAGATGCGTTTTTGTTTCAGTGGAATTTCTGAATTGGGCATCATTGTGTAGCTTGCATCTTAGCAGGCTTGCTGAGGATTTAATCATTTACAGTTCCCAAGAGTTCAGTTTCGTCCGGTTCTCTGATCAGTTCTCTACCGGATCGAGTTTAATGCCACAGAAAAGGAACCCTGATGGTCTAGAACTTGTGCGAGGAGCGGCAGGCCTGATGTTAGGCGTTTCAATGGCTTTCAGCTGCGTTCTGAAAGGCCTGCCAAGTACTTACAACAAGGACCTGCAGTCTGATAAAGAGCTGCTGTTCAGGTCTTACGACAAGCTACAGGATTGTTTAAAGGTCGTGACTGGGTCCATTGACACGATGGAGGTAAGCTCGTAACTACTGTACCTATATTCCGTAAGAAGATAAAGAACAGAATCAAACTAGGAATAATTATTACAAAAATTTGGAAAGAAAACCTCACAAAGATACGCGTTTTTGCATAATTAAACGACAAAGTTTGTTTTGATAAATTGTACTGAAAACTTAGCATCACAAAGCTGCACGTAGCATGAAAGAAAATCTATCAAGTTACCAGTAGTAAATTTTGTACTGATGCAGGCATTTGTCACGTTTGTTAATTTAAACCATTAATATTCCAGAGCTGGAAACTTAACGACAACAACACACTAGAAGCGCAGTGTAAAATGTCTAAGGATATTTATTTATTTATCTATATATATAAAAGAAAGTCGTGTTAGTTACTCCACTTATAACTCAAGAACGGCTGAACCGATTTAGCTGAAAATTGTCAGGGAGGTAGTTTAGAGCCAGGAGAAGGACATAGGATACTTTTTATCCCGTTCGAAATTAAAAAAGTCTGCTTATTTATCGCCATTAACGCGGAACAAAGTTCGCCGGGTCAGCTAGTTATTTATAAATAATTAACTTACCAGGTGAACGCCGATAAGGCACTCGCCGCGCTCGAACCAGGCATGCTAGCGACAGACCTGGCCCACGCACTGGTCCGCAGCGGAGTGCCGTTCCGCCGCGCGCACCATCTTGTAGGCGCCGCGCTGCGACGCGCCGCGGCCCTCCACCTCGACTTGCGGACCATGCCGTACTGCGAATACGTCGCGATTTGGTAACTGTCCTTTTACATTTACGGAGCTGATCTTGTTTATAAAAAAATCTTTCAATCGCATATTGTTTCCTCCAAAAAGTAAGATAACAAGTAGGTAGGTATTTTTTTAAATAATTACCTATGTGTCCAAGTGATTGCTTTATGACAATGTATTTACCACGGTATTGGATTTTCACTTCAATCTTTAAAACCAATTAAGCACAGCTTCCAATAAAATCAAACTTGTAAGTCAGTTGAGCATGAACAACCAGTCATTATCGGGTAACCCTACTTCAAAATAATGCAAACAATCAAATATTTACAGGTATGGCAAAGAGGGCCACTGATTGTGTCCATGCAAATGAGAGAAATGGACAGGTAACGGTGATATTTTTAATCGATATAAAGCTTCGGGCTCACAGCCCACGTTAGAGACTTAAAGCGACGCGATGTTAGTGCGGCTTTACGTTTGAAAGAAGATAGCAGTCACGCTATGTGTTTGTGTATCAAACCCTTAAATTATGATTGAGACAAAACGTTTGGACTGGAGAAAGCAAATCCCACCGAAAACATTTTCATGTAAAATATTGCCAAGCCAAGAGAAGAAACATGAGTTTGACTCGTCTGTAAAAAAGCTAACTCTACGTCACCATAGTCATAATATCTTTTCTATTTCAGTCCAGAATTTGGCACGGAAGAAGAGCTGCGGGCTGTGTTTTCCTGGGAAGCGAGCGTGGAACAATACACCAGCGCCGGAGGCACATCGCGTGCCGCTGTGCAGAAGCAACTGGATGACTTAGCAATCTGGATTAAACAGAACCAAACTGTATCATGCACCACTAAAAAGAAAATTTAAAATGAAGTACGAATATTTAATGAATAAATGTATTATAATAAAATGTTGTTGTTGTTATTAATGCAAATAACATGTCAAGCCTAGCCCCGGGTGCCAACCCATGCTACGCCGCCACTGCTTATTAGTTCCTACAATAGTAACGCAGCGTAAATACCTACCTATAGCTTAACATCTAAAGCATTACTCAACAAGAACGTTTCTCGTAGCCCTACACCTTCTTACGTAAAAATAGAAAACAAATTGAATGTACCATCACTGCAAATAAAAAGTGACGTAAAGTTCACGAGTTGTCAAGTACGATGCCGACGGCGCACCCTGGCACCTGTCTCGCACACCACTCCGTGGGCTGTTTTTCCGCCCCGATGCATGAGGGCGGCAAAACGGCGGCGGATTCCACCCCCGTGTTACCTCATCCACCCCCTTTCCTACGCTCAGCCACCGTGCCTGTGGACATTATAACGTTGCCTCCGTCTGAAGCAAACAGTGGACACTGCTCCTACGCGAATTTTGTAAAACGAAATAAAACGTGACTTGCGGTTGTTTTAACTTTTTGAAGTAGTGCTCAACAGGTAAGTTTAAATTTTATATTAATGTAATAATAATATGTAAAATTCAAATTATTATTTGAAAATAATAAATAGGTAGTACTTATGATTAAACTCAAACTTATTTAGATATTATTGTGCTCATGTTACAAATAGAAAGTTACCAATAAAAATTTCTGAAAAAGCTTACGTGCCAATACACAAACAAAACTGTATTGGGTTATTATGTCGAAATCTTCGACTTTGTTGATACTTAGTTGCTAGAAAATCATTTTTAATATATTTATTTATTTATTTTCTTTTCGGATATATTTATAATTTACTTCCCTGATATGATGCTTGTTAGTGTTATTGTAATACACCAACGTAATTACATTTTTTTCGCTGTTCAATGAATTTATGTTAAAAAATTATTGGCTTAGACGTAATAAGGATGAGGATTATTTTCTCATTAGCAAACACAATATAGCTCGAACACAAAGCCGCCCTTGATAAGCAAAGCTACGCCTCATTGATACCTTTTAAATATTCGATACCGGCGCGCTTGATCGATACAATCGTTTAGTATAAGTATTGGTCGCCGATATAACAATCGAGTATTCTCACTGCCTTTCAGTGAAACTATAGTTCGCTATAATATTGTCATAATAAATACGTGTTTTGTACCAGAATGATTGTGACGATATGGTCCATCACCACACTGCTCGTGATGACGTCTTTAGCTGCAGAGGTTCCCCTTCCTGAAGTCAACGACTATGACTACGAAACTGTACTCAATGAAATACCGGAATTATTGCCCTACATCGCCAACAAGGAGGTAAGCGAGTTTTACCTGTCACCTACAGATGCCGATATTGTCTCATTCAACAAGGGAACAAAATTTTCACGCATCGCTTAATTTCTGGCGAAGTCATTACGTATTAATGATTGAAATCTTTGTTTTGTACGTGTTTTAACGATACTATGGTTTTTAGCAATAAACTGCAATAAATAAGAAAAAAACAGGATTTTCTGAAATTACATTGACGAGACAATATTTATTTACAATAAATTCATGCTTTGGCAGAGTAAAGTCGTTAGTACGTTCTAGCAACGTGTCGTGTGGGACATTTACCACTAGGCCGAAATACGCGAATTGAAATCCAATAGTGTACAGTATTATCATATTTTTGTCAATTTAATACCTATCAAATAAAACTAATCAAACAGTTGAGATGTTTTCAATATAAGTCTGTATTATTTTTAGGGTACAGGTCCACTACACTGTTGTAATTAATAATAATAACGTCATTTTTAATGTATGTTTCAGTATTTGAAGAAAATGCATTCGCTGATGAACGACAATCGCGGAGAAAAAAATGATCGAACCTTGATCGAGACAAACGCACTCATCAACACAAAATACCGAACTTGGAAGCGGAACGCAGACCTCATCAACTCTCTGCTAGCTTTGCCTAAGGGAATGAACGACGCAGGCCGCCGCTAGTTCCCAGTATTATATTTCCTTTATCATATTATGTATTTACCATAAGTTGTCTATCCGTAATGTAAACTACAGGTAATTGCTATTAAAACAACATATTTCTCAAAACATAATATAATTATTGTACCATTTATTTCTAATCTAGATCAAATTACATCTAATATTATCTGCATTGAGGTTCACTCACCACTAATACTTAACTACATTAAACAATGTATTTACATATTTTTTTTGCTTTTATAATTTTAAGATTATAGTATAATTACTAATTAGTAACTGTTTCGAACAATTTTAGGTTTTATTTGTTTCGCTTTAGGGGATTATGAGGACATTTTGGTTTCTATATGCAACCACCATTATTGGTTTAATTTAGTACATTTTATGACGATATTTCTCGTTACCAACATGTAACGATACCTATTAAAATACTATATCTATGTTTTGAAGTTACATTTTGGGTTTGTTTAAGTAATGCAAAAATATTAATATTTACATATTTTTCAATACATATTTACGAAAAGATTTTGAAGAAGTGACAAGTAGTTACAAACAATAAAAGGTTAAATGCTAAGATAAGTACAACGACTATTCGCTTTTTATACGTAACACATAGATTTGTAATATAAATATTATGTTTTGCACGATTTTATTAAATTCAGTTAGTTATTGCAGTTAATTTTGCTCGAAGGCACATTTTTCAAACGAAACCTATTGTCGAAAAAATATCTATAATTATACACCGTGTTACTTTGCATTCTTGCCATATTCACAGAGATAAAAGTAGGGAACAATACCTATTATTTAAGATAAACAAGAGACTCCCATAAAGAAAGTACACTAAGATTTTAGTAAATTTGGTTTTTCAGTACAAATTGGAATAAACCCATTTTGTCTCGCACGTTCTACAGGTGCAAGTGGAATAAACCTAGTGGGCGTGGCCTAGTTCTTAATTTTATGGCTCTGGGTACCAGCCTTTTTATCCAGTCATAATACTTAATTATTTTAAAATACTCTTCAGTTGATTTCAGATTTTCCTTTCTACTTTACGGGCATAGGACCATCAAAAATACGTAATAATTATTAGGGTTTTAATTAATTTTAACATTGTACCCTATTTTTACAAATTAATAAATTAAGTATGAAATGAAATCACCTTATTCACAATTAATTATTTATTCATAAGTTCCTACTTACAAAGTTTACGTACTGCGAAGCAAGTGTTCAAAGTGTCCTCCTTTCTGATGAAGGCACAGTCTAGCACGGCGAAGCGTAGGTTTTTCGCTTTAGTTTTCGCAACACATAAACGTTTTGTCTCACAGTTTCACTAAAACAATCCTTTCATGTAATAATGTAGCGTTTACACTGTTTATCTCTTCTGCGCATACCAGTCGTTTCAAGTCACTCCAAAAATCCATTGGTGTCAGGTCCGAGGATCGTGGTGGCCAAGCTACTGGACCACTCGTCCAATACACTGTTCACCAAACGTAATTATTCGCGCACTTGACGTCCTTATTGTGGGGGAGCACCATCTTGCTGGTAGTAGAGCATTTGGTGTAACGCTAAGGGTACGTCATCAAGCATTTCGTCTAAGACGTCTTGCAGACACTCCAAGCACCATTTTGATTAAATTATTCTTTGTTTGAATACACTTCAGACATTTTTGTATTATTTATAACGTGATTTGTGATTGATGAATTTCTCAGTTTTTTACAAGTGTCAAAAAGACATTTTAAAGACAATAGATTGCAATAGATATTTAAAAATACAATAAAAAGTAAAAAAGTCTTCATCGCCATCGCCAACAAGTGATGTGCATGCGTTACGATAATTAGTGATGTGTTTAACAGATTGTCGATAAAATAAAATACTCAAGATTAAAAAAAAAAATTTTCGGGCATTATTTTTTTACGGATTTGTGTTCAGTATCAGTAATATAGTAACCTCTGTAAATATGGCAAGAATGCAAAGTAACACCCTGTATAGGTGAGGTAATTTCAAAAAACTTATGTGAGATAAACCTCGTAATGATGGTAAAAATATAATGTAAATCGCGAAGCGTACTCAACGCGTACCAAAAATGCTAAATAATATACAATATTTTTATTTATAAACACCCATTGCGCTCGAACGACAGCGGAAAAGTGCTATTGACAACATTTAGATATTATGTTGTGACGCCTAATAAGGCTTGGGCACGCGGTCCCGTATACCCCCATACGGGGTATCCCGTTTAAGCATTCAACCTTGGGTCCGACCAATGAAACATGGTGGTCCTATTAGCACTAAAGCCTTGTTCGCACTAGTCGAGTAATTTAGTAGAATAACTCGCTTTTAATAACAAACTTCTAGTTAAGACCAAAAAGCCTTTCGCACTTTCATCGAGTACAGTTACAACTATTTAGTGGTTTTTATATGAACTCTACTAAACCGCCCGGTTCGAACTCGTTTAGCCGGTGAGCGAGTGACCAGGGACGCGTGGTGGCTTGGCTCGACTAAACGAATTAGTAACCTGCTCCACTAAATTTTTGGTATTCGGACATGTAGCTACAAAATTGCGAACGAGGCTAGTCGAGTGATTTAGTGCGTTTAGCTTAGTTCCGTCGGCGAGCACGGCGCGGATGGAGGCAAGAGCCGGCTAGACCTTGAGCGAGAAACCTGGCGCGAAGTTGAGCGAGCGCTGTTGCACGTGGAAGCAGTGGAGCGTCGTCGGAGTCGGAGCGCGCGAACTGGCAAAATTTTTGGTGTTCGGACACGTAGCTACAAAATTACTCGCCATTCGACTAAATTACTCGACTAGTGCGAACAGGGCTTGGCTAAGTGCGTTAAAAATATCAGCTTTCCGTCTGAGAGCACGGCGCGGGTGGAGACTATAATAGAGCCGGCTAGAACTTGAGCGAGAAACCTGGCGCGACGTTGAGCGAGCGCGGCTGCACGTGGAAGCCGAGCGCGTCGTCGGAGTCGGAGCGCGCGAACTGGCAAAATTTTTGGTGTTCGGACACGTAGCTACAAAATTACTCGCCATTCGACTAAATTACTCGACTAGTGCGAACGAGGCTTGGCTTAGTGCGTTAAAAATATCAGCTTTCCGTCTGCGAGCACGGCGCGGGTGGAGACTATAATAGAGCCGGCTAGAACTTGAGCGAGAAACCTGGCGCGACGTTGAGCGAGCGCGGCTGCACGTGGAAGCCGAGCGCGTCGTCGGAGTCGGAGCGCGCGAACTGCTCGTAGGCGGCGCCGCCGGCCGGCGGGCGCGGGCTGTGCGTGGCGCGCCGGTTGCCCTCCGACTTCGCCGGCCACGTCGGGAACATCGCCGGGTCTATCGCCACCGGTTGCTCCTGTTAACGATATTGTTGTCATGAGTATTTTCGTTGCGGCGTGGGACGATTTTTCATTTAGTTTTTTTATGTAGAACAAGGCAGGTATTTGACCTCAATGAGGGCTATCGTTTTAGCGCTCACCAGTTAGCGCCACTGTGGAGTAAGGTCCTGTCACTTGCTAGTAGCGAAGACAGTGGCACCAACTGGTGAGCGCTAAAGTGGTAGGAGGACTATCGCAATTGCACTCATCAAGATGGCGCCACTGTAGAGTAAGGTCCTGTCAATCGCCAGGGGTGTCAACTGTTAAGTATAAAAACGATAGCCCTCATTGCACCTGATTTTAAGTGAGATGCAGTAACAGGATATGGTATATCTGCCCTGTGATCATTATCGACACATTTCAGACAAGACGGTGTTAGTTTCACTTAAAAAAAATTGGTACACATACGTTTATTTAGCCTAAAATGATACTCAATTAGTTTCTATCGGTATTTTCCATGTGATGTATACGTACGTTACGAGTCAGTCAACAGTTACTCTATCTATACTTTGACCTCCACGCCAAAGCAAGATTATCTTAATGAACTTTATCCACTTGGTGCTCAGACTGCAAGAAATAACACATCATTTCAGCCATAAGACGTCCACTGCAGAACACGGGCCTCCCATTGCGGCCTGAAACCTTCCTGCTACCTTTATGAGGTCGTCGGTCCACCTTTTGGACGTCCTACACTGCGCTTTCTGGAACGGGCCTCTACTCCAGAACCTTGCTTCTATCGGCTGTCAGTTTTACGTACTATGTGCCCTACCTATAAAAATAACACATACATTTAACGTAAAGGTCGCGGGAAGAGCCTGGATGCGGGCAGCGCAGGACCGTGCATTGTGGAAAACCTTGGAGGAGGCCTTTGTCCAGCAGTGGACGTCATTTGGCTGAAACGAACGAACATTTATCACACACAAAAACAAGTGTCAGTGTCCAACGAACCTTAAAGTAAGGATGGTCCAGCGCGGCGTCGGCCGTGAGCCGCTTGGCGGGGTTGTAGGTGAGGAAGCCCTGCAGCAGCGCCAGGCCGGCCTCGGACAGCAGGTCGGGCCCGATGCGCTGGCGCAGCCCGCCGGCCGGGTGCTCCGCGAACGTCATCTTCTGCACCGGCGGCAGCTCGCTGTAGCCCGGCCACACCGCGTCCGATGGCGTCCCGAGATCCTACAATTTTAAATCCTTCACTGACTCACTTATTCACCATCATCAGGTCTTTTAGTTTTAGTCTTAGTCTTTTGGTCTTTAGTCAGGTAATTTATCACAGAAGTCTAAGGGATGATACCCATTGACCGGCGCGCGTCGGAGCGCACCTACACGGCCGTAAAGAAAATAGTATTTTATTAACAGCTCTTAGAGTCTTAATTGCTTACAACTGATCAACTGACATTTCAATGCGGACGGATGCGCGAGCATGCGTCGGCAGCCGGTCGGCTCCGAGCGTATTCCAGCGGATACGCGCGCATTCCACCGCATGCTTACGCTGCGCTGCGCGCCGACTCGCGATGTTAAATGTGAATCCTGCCTAAGGCTACGGCCGGATACTTGCGACACCCCCACTCGGGCGATGACAGAACGTAGTTTTAGTGGTTATAGCCTTTCCTTGGCTCAGCACGGAGCTGCGCCCTTTCCTCCGTGTCAAAAAAAGTGATTTGTGCCCGTTTTCACTATCAATCCCTAATTTTTAGGTAGCCCCTATGATAACAAAATACCTGTTATTTGTTACCATAGGGATCACTTAAAAATTAGGGATTGATGGTGAAAACGGGCATTAGTCTCTCTCAACTGCAGGAGCACGATCGTCTCTATGTACCAGAGGCAAATGGAGGATTTGACCTACACGTTTGCCAGACGGGTTGCGAAGGAAACTCACTTATTATAAAGACAAAACTAACATCTACAGAAATGTGATGTGCCAAAAGAAGTGACGATCTGGGTAATACACGATTTCAACATCAGCAAAAATGCAGAGTAGAAACCAAGAGAATTTTAAAAATCTAAAGATCAATTTCTGTGTATTTATTAAAGCTTAAATTAAATTAACAGAGCTGTTTTTGCGATTAATTCATTCTATTAAATAAATAAAAATTTTTGATAATGGCGGCAATGACAGATAAAACATAATGGCGTATTATAACCACTCACCTTAAATATCCTATTCAGCTGGTCTACCTCAGACCTGCCCGGGAACAACGGGTTCATAGAGACGAATTCTCCAAAAATGCATCCCACGCTCCACATATCGATGGGCGTAGAGTATTCCTTTCCATAGAGCAGCAGTTCTGGTGACCTGTACCACAGAGTCACTACGACTGGCGTGTATTGACGCAAAGGGGACCCGTATTCTCTCGCAAGACCAAAATCTCCCACCTGTAACATAAAAAAATTACATTAGACTCTACAATCCTTAATATGAAAATAGCAAAATAAGCCAATCACAGCATAGTTCTTACCTTCAATACGCCTTTGTGTGATAACAGAAGATTGCTCGTTTTAAGATCTCTGTGTAAAATCCAGTTGTCATGAAGATGATGAACAGCACTTAGTAGTTGTGTCATCAAGCATTTCACTTCTCCTGTAAAATATTAACATTAAATTATGTAGTTTAGTTAAAACAACTACAAAATTTTCTTATGTATAGAAAATTCAAATCTGCACGTGAGCCATTTGACACCACCACCCATTGGCATCCACAGTATAAGAGTCACCAATGTGCTGCATGCCTTTAATAAAGAATTTCAGTTGATATAACAGCACCAATAACTACAGTAGTTAGTTAGATATTAACAACAATCAGCTGGACTAAAAAACATAGTTACCTGGAAGGAACACCTGCTTCTTCGCCTTCATAGTCACCATAAGGCTCTTCAAGTCGTGCTCCACGTAGTCCATGACGATGAATATCTTGTCCATGTTGGAGCCGACCACGATCTCGCGCACCGTGACGATGTTCGGGTGCTGGCCCTGCAACAAGCGAAGCGGTTGTGCGACTTGTTAGTACTAATGGGGCCACCCTCACCTTCAATGCTTTCAATCCATCGTTTGGGAATTTACTTACAGCTGTCAGTTTACCCTGATATCGGTAAATTACAGTATCATAAAGTTCTAACCTTAGTTCCCTGGAAAAAATATCAAGCCCGTGCAGTTAAAGAATGAGATTAAAAATGAAGTCAAATGCATTTAGCACTTCTTAATCGCTTATTATGTGGCGAAAGTAAGATACATTTGACGCCATGTTTTAATCACATTTTATCTGCCTTTACGTTTGGTCATGTAGTACGAAATTTAGAAGCAGCAGCTTGTACACAGCCTGATCGAATACAAAGTTTAAACAAACTGATTTTGGAGAACTTATATCAATCATGTATTATGGATATCTGCAGAGTTATAGGAAAATAAAGAAATAATCGGGCTGTAAACAATGCCTGTTTTTTGTGTAAATTCATTCAATAATACGTTCACAGCATGAAATTGAAACTACGTCTAGCTGTGCTCTGCGCAAACGGGCCACCGACCACAACTACCAGTGGCTCGCAATAGGCTGTTTACATGATTTCTAACACGATTTGTATGGAGTATCCATACACGTGTAGGCCGCGACACTCCACCGGTAGCGGCCACTTAATATAAATTAATTACAGCCACCGCTAACTACTAGTAGCGGCCATCGTCCACTTCTGGCAGCCATCGACCATCTCGGCCAAAAAGTCGCAACGTTTTTGTTATAATTGAAATAAGGTTGTGTCGTCAACTTTTTGACTACTTTAGGTGTCACGAACTATTTGACGCTGACTGCCCCAAACGTGACGCGCGACTTTCACCGGTGGTTGTGGTCGTTGGTCTGCTTTGCACCAAGTACCATTTAACACAGATTTTTTAAACATTTTTTTTTTACTATTTTAATTTTATTTTTCTTCTTTATCTGGCCTATTCCCATTTTATTTGGGGTTTGGGGTCGGCCCTCTGTATCATGCCACCACCAGGCGGCTCGGTCCTGGGTCGACCATTTTAAATTTATTCCTCAACTAGCTTTCCGCCCGCGGCTTCGCCCGCGTGGAATTTTGTCTGTCACAGAAAAACTGTATCGCGCGCGTCCCTGTTTCAAAAACCGGGATAAAAAATATCCTATGTTCTTTCCCGGGACTCAAACTATCTCTATGCCAAATTTCATCAAAATCGGTTGCGAGGTTTAAGCGGGAAAGCGTAACAGACAGACAGACAGAGTTACTTTCGCATTTATAATATTAGTTGGGATAATAAATGCAGTAAAAAACAGAAATTAAATTATATGATATAGGTTCCCCAGATTAGTGGATACATATTTTGAACAGCATTTAGACTGAACTATGAAACTAATATAAAAAATTGCAACCAGAAGATATTCAGAAATTAAAATTAAAATAATATTTTTTGGCTATAATGATTTGATGATATTAACCCATTTTTGGATTGTCTTAATATTTTCTTTCTAAACCTCTACGTTGTTTACGTATCTATGTGTCTTATTCGATTAATTTTTCAAGATTTATGTGTCACCATAAAATTATGAACTTCGCAAGTTTATAATATAACACGTGAGATTGTAAAACAACGCCAGTTATTAATCTAACGGAGTTCACAATTACGGTGGCATATGTATCTATTATTACGTAGTTTCAATTTCAACAACAAGTGATACAAATAATTTTCATCATTCATTCATAAATCTAAAGAAAAAACTAGATTAACATAACTGCTGTTATAATTTCGAATCTGTGATCTAATAATATAATTACAGTACAGGAGACTGTCCATCAAGACAAACACTATAATATTACTAAAGATGTAATGTACAGAAGACGGCACGTCAACGTAACCACTGTGGGTTCTTGTGAAGTTGTAATAGGGGCGAATTTGCAACAAAAATGGGTTACCACCAGAAAACTGACTTTGAGGTACAGTTACTGTCGCTATACATAATACTGAGATAAATTTTAAATTTATTGAAACCGAGAATTATCACACAGCTTACATAAGTTACTATAAAATCATTAAAAACTTAAGATAAATGACTAGCTTTCTCTATCTATAAAATATTTTTATTTATTTATTTGCGGTTTTGTTCGAAACTATAATATAATAATGAGTTCAGATTTACAATATCCACCGCTTTCCTGATTATGCAACTCAGCATCAATCGTTTTTTGTTTGACATTCATTTCTGGAGCAATAAAATGAATAACGAGAACCGTGTGTAAAATGAACACTCGACTGAAAATATAAATTCCGCCGTAGGTGTATTTCCCACAAAAGGCACAAGATGACGCAAACATGTTCGATGTTTTTTGCTGCGTTGTTTGAGTCAACTAATTGAACCAAGTTTTGTTCTGGTAGTTACAGGGTTCGAAAGGATAATTATCACGATAATTATCGTGATAATAACAGATGGATAATTATTATCGGTTGATAATAACAAAAAAATGCGCTCGTTAAAATTCGAAGCTTCGTGCTGTATTCGAAGCTTTCGAACGTGTATTTCCGCACTTGCGTCTAGTGGTGGGCGTTAATCAACATAGATAGTTATAAAACCTATATTTTTGCTCCACAATGATCACTAGTTATGTAACATCAAAATATTGATCAATATTATTTATGCGACTAGCGATGGATAACTTGACAACAATCAGCAACCAAAACCAACATTTGCAATCAGAATTTCTTATGAAACAATATGACAAATGTATCTTATACTGTTGATAATTATCTGATAATTATCATGAAGCGTAATTATCTTGATAATTTCGAACCCTGGGTAGTTACCAGAACGTTTTGTTGAATAATCAATTCATTACATTATAATAATTTTGAGTGTTGAGATAGTGACTCTTCTTGTCTTGTCTAACGAGTATTTTAAATCAGAAGTTACTTTCTGAAGTATAAGGAAATAAAAGGGAATGCTTGTAATCTTGTAAATTATCAAATGTAACGCTAACCCCAATAATAATAAAAATTACACGTTTGTTGAACAGTTTTCAAAGTGACATTTAGAATGGAAATGACACTTTGTGAGGTGCCTGGATGCGAACGGCGCAGGACCGGTCTTTGTGAAAATCCTTGGGGGAGGCCTTTGTCCGGCAAGGGACGTCTTTCGGCTGAAACGAACGAATGAATGAACGAACGAACTTTGAAACAGTGTTCAATAAGTATGTAACTTTTTATTATTATGGTAGTTATCGTTACATTCGATAATTTACAAACATTCCCCTTTTATTTCATGTGGTAGTTACACAAACTTACAGTATTAATGACTGAACTACCTTAGTCTAACATTATACGAGTAAATAATGACCCCTTAACATAAAGCATGTAAATTATAGTTCTCACTCAGTGCCCCGATTACGCTAATTTTTAACGTCTCTAATACATACGCGCTTCTTCGCCAGTTGCGCTCCGTTTTTCATTCCAGCTGAGGTGCTAATTCGGTATCACGGTAATGGACGTACCTTCTAGTATTTTCATTGTCACATGAGATATTTAGCTTTACGTTTACGTCTATGGTTCGTTTCAACTAGCTGTCAAAACGACACCGCGATACGATTTGATGTTCGTTCGTCGTCCGGACACGTTGAAGATGAAAATTTTTAGCGTAATTGGGGCCCTGGTATGTTTTGGTTTTTTAATGTTTAAATAAAAATAGATTAGATGTCTAGATTACAGACTACATGAATAAAGTTCCTAATAACATGTGAACTGAACATTTTTTCAGATTAAACAAACAATATTGATTGTTAGGAATAGAATGCAGGCATAGATTTAGAGCGTTATTCAATCTAACGATGGCTTTGTTTATTTACCGATTTTTACCTTGTTTTTTCAACAACACAGTACTTAGTATTTATTAAGGAGGGAAAACCTGTGATTTGCTATTATTTTGGACATGTTTTATCTATAATTTAATTTAGAAAATAAATAAATAAATAAACCTTTACAAGTCAATAATTAACTAAAATCAATTGACATGTCGTCACAGTTACTTCACTAAAGTCTGTTCGCCGAGAGTTGATAAAAAAAATTAAATATCAGAGGTTCTAAACTCATTATAAATTGCGGCCCGCTAATTATTTTTGTCGATATAATGAAAAAGTTGGTAGATTATTTGGTCTGGCCTTTTTTTTCCCTGGATTCTCGGCTCGGTTACAGTTTAATTTTGGACTACCATTTATAAGAATGTTCTAAAAATACCAATTATCTACCAAAATCTACTAAACGATTTCGCACTACTAAATCATCGTTCTCTTTGCCTCAAATCTACCAAAAAAGTAGAAATCTACTAAAAGTGGTCACGCTGTGGCCGCCGCCGCCCGCCGGCCGGGGCGCTTGACGACAGCTGCGTGGCTCGTACCATGGTACTCAGTGCGCGTTGTGACAAACGACGCCCGCTATACAGAATGCGATAATTAAGCGACTGTCGCTATTGCAAGACATTTCATAATATTTATCAACTCTCGGCGAACAGACTTTAGGTATATCAAAATCACTTAAAAAAGGGAAAAGTCAATAAATTCTTGACAAATTGAATTTCGTGATACAAGTCAATTCGATTCAAAAGGCAAAACAATAATTAAATTAATCTGTCAGGGAATATTACACTGTCAGGCACAGAAATACATAAAATATAAGGCACACATTTCATCGACACGTTTGAAAATTTCTGCACGCACTTTATTAACTGTGTTTTCATTCCATTTCCAGAGCCACTCCAGTTGATAAAGTGCACCTTATGGCCAAAAGTATTCAGTCAACTTACGCGCGCCTTTAGCCTAATACATTATAACAATTAAATTATAATAGTTTTACGAAATAACATCTTGATTAATCGTGGAGTCGTTAATAAAAATGCATAAGACTGAATACTAATTGACAAAAAGTCGCTGCCATAGCTGGCGGAAACTTAAATCATAAACTCATTATTATATTCGTCATAT